TGAAGATATTGCCCAGCATAATTATAACCAAAAAGGTTACCATATAACCATATATTACCATATAACCAAAAAGAAACATTTCTGTAGGAGTTCTGATAAATGAAAGATAAAACCACTAACCTAACTCAGTGCTGAGTTACATTTCTTGCATTATTTATCATTATCTTTGCTCTGAATCCCAGGCATCAATCATCTTTTTCCACCTAACTGCCACAGCAAGGAGTGGGAAGAGTAACATTAAATAATGTTATTTTCTCAAAACATTAACGTGATAGGCCCTATAAATTCTGTCACATATAAACCCATCTTGACTTAGGCTCACAGAAACCCCAGCACTGGAACAGCTGCTCCAGCTGCTTATGTGCCAAAGGGGGTTCCTGTTGGTAGAACAAAACTTAGTGTCTGTTCAGGAGGCACTCAGATACCATACTGATGAACCGAAGGTGCTTCTCTAAAAAAGTAAATGATCCTTAAGGCATCAGTCCAAAGCAAATTGTGGTTTTAGGATCCATTTTTCTCTGAAATATTCCAGTTACAAACGGACACTTTGAGAATGATCTGTTGCCACTGAATGACCTGAACAAGCATGACTCCATCCCATAAAAAGTCCTCACTGCAGTCAGAGACCAGTAGAAATCAGAATATCATAAACCTGGCAACTCTAAGACTGAAGTTCAGTGAGTGAACAGCCTTATTCATCAGACAGATAAAAACTCTTTCCTTGACTACCTAAAAAGCATGTGGAAACATCCATCACACACCTTTCCTGAATGATTAGGCTCCTCTTCAGCTTTCCATCAATTCCTTTTCATTCCATTCATTCTCTGTTTGCCTCCCAGGTGCTTTACTTTTCAAGTCACTTGAATGTCGCAGGAAATCATCACTCCTTTTATTTGAAGCCTTTTCTTGAGTTTTGTTTCACTTTCTCTGGTTTAGATTTTTATTGACACTGATCGCTTCAGGCGCTGGGGTGAGGAAGCAGCTGCTGAGGCTAACAGCATCAGAGCTCAACTTAAGGAGACCTGAGCACCAGCAGAATACAAGGGCTGACACAGATGAGAGGTAACAGAGATGGTGGTGAGGTCATGAGGGAGATGTGCATGGGTGCTGGGACATGGGTTTGCCGAGATGTTAAATCTTTTTTCCTAGATAGTGCTTTTGACCTGCCTTTTGAAAGTATCACTGAATTCCCTCCCACCCTGGTCACTGCTGTTTTGTGAGGTATCCTTTTCAAAACACATGCAAACCTCTAATGGAGCATTTTAACAGATTTCCACCATTTGGTCATGGATACAGAAGGTCCTGAAAATAAATTGTCTGAGAACAGCTCAGGCTCTTTGGCTCAAATATGGGAAGAATTAAAAGGAACCACAGAACTAGGAGAGTTAAAAGCACCTGTGAGGTGTCTTCTTGAATTTAAACTCTTTCCTTCCTTTTTGATAACAATTAAGCTGAAACCAATCACCTTTTTAAATCATTTGTAGGAGGGGAGACTGTAGCACCATTTCTGCAGCCGCTTTGCTCTGACAGTATTGGCATGTTGTCTTTGTGAGGAGAAGGCCCTGCACTGAAGAATGTCACGTTTTCAGCACCTTCCGTGACGACTAAAGTTTCCCTTATTTTAGGAAGTGTTCTAAAAATGCTTCCCTCTAAAGGTCATGCTGAACAAATCTTACATGCACCCTCATTCCACAAAGGAAGCGTGTTGGGTGTGGGAAGATTGACGCATTTTCCATTTCATGAACTATAGTAAAGGATATTTTGTTGGTTTTGTTTTCCATGGACAACCAGTGAACCAGGTTAACATGAAATCCTATGTGCATTGAAAGTGAAGCCTGACAAACTGAAAGGGAATACAGATTTTGAATCAGATTGTCAAAACTGCTGATTTTTACAGCTGAAGCTGTTAGCAGTCTTGTTCTAGGCACTGTAAAACATTTTGTGAGAAACCAGTCCTACCTCTCTGAAGAATTTACAGTGTGACCGCATAAGGATCAAGAACAAGGTTGGTATCATCACATGTTATCATCTCTATTTTAGAGAGGCAGAGTATCTTTTGCCTGAAGCCACACCAAATGGATATGGCAAAAGTGGGAAGAGCACCAAGAATCCTGTACTTGGAGAGACTCTTTCTCTTGAGCACATCAATAACCTGAGTAAGTTGATTCTTCTTTTTCAGTGAACTTTACTGAACTAAAATATATTGAAATGTGGATGGAGAAAATTTTTGCTGATAACATAAATGTGTTTATGTGTTTAAAACGTTTTTGAAGTACACATACATGAAAGCATGGTAAGTTCCTCCTTTAGCTAATTGCTGGTGGCCTCAATTTTTTTCCTGCATTCTATTTTGATGGTCTAGTGATTGCTGCAGTTATTGTGAATATGCCTGTTGTCATGCTTAATGCTTATTTCCTAGCTCTTAGTTTCTGCTATGGTCTGAAAGTAATTTTAGCAGTCCCACTTTTCATCTTGTGTGTAGGCTGCTTTTACAGTTTTACTATAGATCTATAATTTTCTCTGTAGCAGACTCTTGAGATGAAGAATGGATTTATGTTTAACACACCAGAGTTGGAGGGATGTTAATCTTGTTGCAGTTGCGAACTTTCTTGTGTGGCCTTGAATTCTCCCATTCTCTCCTGCGCTGACCTCTGTACTTTTAAACTTACATTTGTAGTTCACTTGAGATCATCTGCTATGCAAACAGCAAGCATTATTCTACAGTTTGGATCCGTATTCAAGGCATTCAATAAAATAAGCATGTGTAAGACATACCTACAGAAGGGACCCATGTTAATCAGTAAGTCTGTGCTGTAGGTAAGTAGAACATTGTCTAGTGACTCTTGTACCTGTCTGGACAAACATTTCCACTGTCCTGCTCTTTTTGCATGCATATTTTGCGAACAATTTAGATGACTCTTTTAAGAAGATTTATTTCTACAAGACTGACAAAGATTTCTGAGAAAACATGCAGGCGTGAGTCACCCACGTTCCACTGTTTTTCACGCAGCAATAGGTTCTTATAGTAAGCTTAGTTATAAGAAATAGCAGTTCTGGGTGGTTTTGAACTGTTTTCATAAGGAGACATTGTATGCTGAAATCATCTCTTAGCACAGGAGTGAGTATGCTTTGGATGTTGGCTTTGTAAGTGAGCTGATCATCTGATCTATACAACTGATTTAAGACCAGTCATGTCCTTCACCCTGTTTTCTAGAAATCCCCTGTATCTATATATAAGGAGCAATTTATTGGTGGTTTGTGGTTTTTTTTCAGTAACACCTTCAGCTTTTGTGCCTTGAGCAGGAGATGTTAGTTTTTAAGAGTAACCCATATATTACTGATTAAATGCCATTATCTTAGCACAAATTGTTAGTCACGGGCTGCAGGAATCCTGTGGCTGACCCAGTGCCTCACTGCGTATATAAATGTTTTGCTAGAAAAGGTAAACATTACTTTTTCATAAATGAGAGTGCACTGCACTGCTTGTGTTTGTCCCTAGGTTATCTCTATGTTTATCTAGGAACTGAAAACTTCACTGGAAAGGACAGGAGCAGGCATTCTCAAGAGATCTGGGGCGTCAAACATTTGCTGAGGTCTAGGCCTTTTCCTGAATTATTCTGTTCAGGCGGGAGAAAGTGGCTTTAGCATGTGCTCTGCACCCATTTTGTTTCCCAAAATATGCTATTAACCAGGTTAAAGGCTTGTAGAACTAGAGCTGTAAGAAGTTTGGAGAGGTTGTTTGTCTGGCCTAAAGCAAGAAATGATACCTAAACCAATCTTGACAGCTATTTGACTAATCTGGCTTTAAATATTGCCATGAGTGGACATACCAGAGCCGCCCTAGGCATCATTAGCCTTTGTGATAAATGGTCATCTTTATCTCTGCCTATGATATCTGTAGTGTTTAAATCCATTACACTGCCAGTGAAAATGAATAACAGCGTAATACCTGTTTCTATGCAGGAACAGTGAATTTGGTTACATTTAACATGTCTCCTCTCAGTCACAGTGTGGGCTGTTGCTGATGTGGGCCGATGCACTGTATCTTATCCCTGGGCTGGTGCATATTGTGGGCTGTTTCTGCCTCTCTGGCCTGGGAAAACCTTAAGCATGAATGGTATTCACCGTACTGTTTGGGAGATCTGAGGACTGTTCTTCCATGGAGAAATATGAGACAATTGCAGAGTCCTGTGAAAACCATTCTGACAACAGAAAATTGGAAGGGTTTACAAAAGGCTTTTGAAGAGAAACAAAACAGAAGATGTGCCTCACTGTGTTCTGATAGTTGTTGCCCCTGGGAAAATCAGAGTAATGCATAACTTCAACAGGCTACAGTTTGCAAGGGTGTGCAGTAGTGCTTTTAGTGTTTGTGGGTTTAAGTGTACAAAGCGTATTTTCCCTGTGATGAAGACATTTGTGAAGTGCTTGCGATTTGGGGGTTTGTTGGTTTTTTTGAAAGCATCAGTATTCTGCAATGAAAGCTAACATAGGAACTTATATTTATCTAATGTACAGTGTAAGGCATAAAACTCTCCCATGCAGGAAACACTGGTGTAATATCTACCTTCTGCTGGTGGCAAGTGCTCTATATTCCCTGTGCTGATAGGCATTTGTGTGATATTCAGATCAGTTTAACATGGATAGGGAGATGCCACAAACTGCAGCAAAGGACAGTTTCCAATTGAGCATTTAGATTAGGTCCTCCTGGAACATGCAGGACATAATAACTCAGCTGGGCAGGCAGGAGGACTTGTATCTGTATAGAGGGTAGGCACATTGCTGTGTGCTGCTTGCGTTGGTTTCAGACATTGTTCCCTGTGCCTTCCCAAAAAAAGTGAAGCTAGAACCTCTTTTTCCTCACCCTCTTTATGCTGCTCCTTCAGCTACTCTTTTGTTGAATGCAGTTGTTCAACAGAAGTTGACAGAAGAGTGCAGATTTCTGGGTCACTACTTTGTTTCCATGCTGGGTACCTGCCCAGTGTACTTTGCTCAGACTCTGAGGGTAGCCTCATGCTGCTTGGCAGAAAGTCAGCATACATTTTTGTAGTAAACCTTGCCTGAAAGAAGGCAGATCTGGGACATTGTGAGGGTGAAACTGAAGGACATTAGGACTTGTGGGCAGAAGACATCAAAGCGAGCCTCTCCAGATAAATATTGTGGGATTGGTAAGTACATAATGGAACACAACAGGGAAAGCATTGGGATTTTCACATAAAAGATAGGCCTAGGGCAGATCCTAGAGTGCTGAATCATTTTCCCATGTTGTTACAGTGCTGTATCAATCCCACTTTCTGGGAAATGTGGGATTCCTTCCCATTCTCTGACTGTGTCTTTGTGTTTGAGAATGGGTCAAGAAGAGAACAGTCTCGGGTACTCCCTTCATTCTGAATTTCTGAAGCTAACTCCTGACAGGCCCACAGACTTCCTGTGTCTCAGGGGAATATTGCTGTGTCTCTCATTATCTAAATTCCCTTAATAGTTCCATATTCACAGAGACTATTTATATAGCCTGTTCTAAGGAGTAGGACACAAAATATTAGGGCTTTATGGTTTCTCTGTGCAGGTGTGTGTGTGTGTCCTGTCTTTAGTCTCTTTCTGTTGTGGCAGTGCAAATGATTACAGAAAATGAACCATCTGGCTCAGCATTGTGGAGACAGGTTTCCTACATCCTGGGGCAATGCCTTGCTGCAGGATAGTTTTTCACTGCCCCAGAGACTGTTTAGTGGCATGTCTCCAAAGACAGCCATTGAGATTGAGGTCAGTGATTTCCAGATAATGTGTGTGAGCTGTGGAGCTCATCACTTTCATGAGTGATTCTGTAATTCTCCACAGAATCTGTAGATGCCTTTATGGTTTATGGGGGAAAGGCAATCCATGAGTTTTCTGTAAGCTCTTGACCTTGAATCCAAACCAGAAGGCAGTGAGAATCACTAGAGCAAAGTGTGGTTGGGGAGCAGTGTTTCATCACTGACTTCTTTAGAAGATGCATGGAATGGAAGAGTGTTTCTCCTTCCCTTCTGACGAAAGCCAGTTGTGAGGATAGTGGGATATGAGAGAAGTCCAAGATTCTGCTCTGAAGTAGGGGGAAGAAATCCTGATTTAGATCTCCTGCATCCTTTGAGTGCCCAAGTCCCTGGGTTAATGTATTTTGAACAATACTTTCTTCATCTCTTCATGAAAATTTTCATATCTTTCCATTCAGTGTTAGGTTGAAATCATGGAGCATGTTGCAATATCTCATTGTTGATCAGCTCTGCCAGTACTAAGGAGCTTTGGCTGCAAACTCTTCTCTCATCTGGATGTTTAGGTTCTGTGCTTTGAATCAGCTCTTACAAAGCTGAGAATGGAGCTTGACTGAGGGTTTTCTGCTAAATTATTTTTTCACCAAAATAATGCATCTTCCGAGGGATCAGAACAGTTCACAGGTGCAGACTGGATTTGGCAAATAGCTTTAGACCTCCACAACTAAAAAATAAAATCTTGCTAACTTTCAACACTTTCAAAAGTGTTCAGAAGTCTTAACCATTAAGTTTTATAGATATTTCTAATGTGATTGTTCTGAAAGTTTTCAAAATATTTAAAGTTTTATAACGTTATTTCAGGATTAATGAAATGTTTGGTATTTTCCAAGCGTATTTTTTGTTTAGTTATTCTGTTATATTTAGGTTTTGTTGTTGTAAAAATACAGGTATTTTCAGTTCAGATTGACCTACACTGTTACTACTATTTATTATCATCATCATCCAGGTTTGATAGTGAGGCAAAAGAGCAATTTATGTACACTTCTGCAAAGTTGGGATATTGCTGCCTTAATTTCAAATATCCCTTCCAAATATGAAATAGATTGGGGTTTTTAGCTTGTACCTGCTCTGATGCCTGTCTCCAAAGGTGTGCTGCTTTGCAAGGTGTTGGTATAATTTAAGGCTGTGTGGATGCGTGCACTGAGCTCAGTGAGTGTGGCACAGTGAAGCAATGTCAAGGTGAAGCAATGGAGACAAAGCTTTTGCTCTCTTATGCAGATGAGGAGTTTCTCCTACCAGCAGACTGCTGGGAAATACAGCTCCATGTTTGTGAAGACAGAATTATGCAGTGTCTGAGCTTTTACATGGCTAACATCATGAGAATGTACCTTTTGGCTTTTGCTTTTGTGATATGCTTTCTGTGAGGTTCAGATCTTCTAACAAAGTTAGTTACTTGAAAGCACCTACTACTTTCCTCCCCATGAGGAATGAACATGAACTTAATAGAAAAACCAAAAAACTGGCCTCCACCTTATCAAGTGCTAATTTCAGCTAAAGAGTCCAACATAACGCAATTAGAGACACCAGAATATTGGAAAAGACACTCCCTGAAGCCCAGACTCTCACAGAGGAGACATGCCAACTAGCAAAAACCTTACACAAAGCACTAATGAAAATGTAAGAGGGAGAAAAGCCTTCTTTTATTGGTGTTTTTTTTTAATACCCATCACTGCTGGGAAACACATACTTGCAAAATCACGCAGTGGAAGCAAGAGAGTGCCAACTCAGTACTGTATGCGTGGACCCATCTTACTCACAGTATCCATCTTACATAGCAGACTGGTATTTACCCACCCCAGAAGGGAATAAATTACTGTAGTTATGGTCAGAAATAGAGACATGGAGACAAAAAAAAAAGAAACAAGGACTGCTGGGGGACAAAGCAATGGTAAAGCAAGCATACCAAAGCGCCACAGCATCAGTCATGCTCTGCACAGCCATCAGTGTCAGAGACAGCAGAAGCTGATACTCGGCGAACCCCACCAGCAGGTACTTAGTTTCCTTCATTGCTCAGTCAAAGTTGCTCTTTTTCAGCAAGAGGGCATTGTTCTCCCTTTTTATTTTGAGGAGTTTGGCTTTCTTTGGCTTTGTTTCATTTGGGCTTATGCTGTCTGCTGCTGGGAAGCCTGTGAGAAGCAATAATGGCAGAAGGAAAAACTGATGTGTCTTCATCAGTCCAGTTACTGAAAAATAAAGCAAAGGAGCACTAAGCAGTAGGGTTTGCTGCTTAAATGGCTGCTGTTCTATCAGCCAAACTAAGAGGCTGATAAGGTTGATAATGGAGTCTATCACCAGTGGAGCCAACTGCACCTTTCCACTGGAAGATTAATATAGTTAATGACTTCAGCAGTGTTTGGAAAAGAAGTATGTGTGGGGAAGGTGGATTTACTGTTCCTTGCCTGCAGAAGCACCATTCGATTAGTAGTGCACTTCTCTAATTAGACAGCCTGCTTGTGCCACCATTACCTAGTGCAGAGCTGCAGACAAAACAGTAAATGGGGTACCTGGGGCAGTATTTGAGGGCTGCTCCTCTGCTGAATATTTGGATGTCTGTTGCACTTATAGAGCTATCTGATTATGGATCTTTTTCAGAGCATGCTGTAGTCAGGGAAAAACTCACATTGCTTTGCATGTGTAATTTTAATGTCTACGTTTCTTCAGTGCCTTGTCTGTGAGGCTCTGAGCTCTGCTAAGGATGGAAAGTGGCAAGTTGTAGCTCAAGTAAGGTATTACTTTGTGGGTTAAACCAGAGATTTTGCCACTGGTTTTCAGCAATAGCATGATTTTATGCAGCTAATACCTGTAGAGTAAGCTGAAGGCGCTAAATGTTCTTCTCATTCTTAGATAGATACTTCATTCTTAGGATAGTCATCAGCTGGTCTGTGAACTATGAGGCCTCCCTGACTGTTTTTTGAGAACATTTTAAGAAGTATCTTACAAAAAATATTGAGGCACCATTTACTAAGAAATAGTTATTTCCAGTGCCAGTCTGTAATTGTAGCAGAAACCCTTTCTTTAACCCTTAAACTGTGCTGAAATTTGTGAACTGTACACCCAAAGCAGTAGCCTCTCAAGAAGGGTCCAGGTATTCTGGTGGTGGTTTTGTTGGCACAGACAAGGACAGGTGGATCTGGATTAGTAGAACCAAACTGATAGTTGAAGAAATTGCCTCCAATAATGACTCTTGCTTTCTCTTCTGGAGCAGTTAAGTGTTGCTTTGTTCCTTCATGCCCTTAGGCTAAAGGATGGAGTGTTCCTAATGGTGTTTGATGTGGTAGCCACATTTATTGGGGGTGAAGGATGTTGCATGGCATATAGCTTCAATTTAAGTTGTTTTCATGTCTGGTATGAGTGGGGTTGGGCCTCAAGTGAACTCTTTCCTCTCAATCTCAAAGGCTGTAATGTACCTTGAGATGTGTCCTATGAGCACTTGCAGAGGGTGCATAATGAAATCAGAGGGAGCTGTATATTCAGGCTGCTTGCAAGATAAGGTCACACGTAAATATAGATGCAGTAATCAGGTACTAAACAAAAGGGCAGAAAGATAAGTCTCCTGTTTGACTTTGTGGTCTTTTTCTCTTCCTAATAGGCTCCTTTCCAAAGATGCCTTCCAAGTAACATTCTAGGACTGTTAAAAAGCATCTTCTGGAAGTACAGGGAAAGCCTGACAAGGCCTGTCTTAGCTGAACAGGCTGTGTTGTAAGCTCAGAAAACAGCCTGAGGCTCCCAGAACATCAGTAGGATGACAAAACCATTTGCTTAGAAAGCTCGTTTTCCTCTTTCTGCCACTAAAACAAGTAACAGTCAACACAAAGGCCTTTTGGAAATCTCCTACTAGGAAATGGGCACTATTTTTGATAGGACTTCTAACCAATATGTCCTGGAAGGAAATTGCAGTTTCCGTCATATTTGCAGTGAGGAAAGGAGTGGGATTAAACAGAGCTGAACAGAAAATTGAAACTGATGGAATACAGTGTTTTGGTTTGGGCATACAGCAGATTAGGTCACATTTCTGCACATTTCTTTATCAGTGCTGACTAGTTCTGGCTCCTTCGTTGTGTGCTTTACAGTTTTTGAGAGGTATATGGAAAATCTGACTTTTGCAGAAGTCACAGGAAACGCTGAATGCAGAGTAAGTACAGTTCTTGGGCTTTCTGGTCAGTTATTGCCCACACCCTGGAAATTGTTGTACGATCGAGAGCCATTGACAGATGCCTCACATGTGAGCACCTTCTATTTGCATTTCTGTTTTGCCTCACAAATACAGTGATTTTAGAGTGGTGACACTGTTATTTATTGGCATTAAACACTTTAACCTGTTACGAGATCTACACTTGCAATACATAATGAAAGTAACTGTGCAGTATCCCTGTTAGAAAGCTTTGTGCTATTAAATAAGGAGAAGGTAATGCCACAGAAGGGTTTAAAAGCATCAAGAAATTGGTTACACTCAAAACAAGTTTGTCAGAAGATTCTTCATTTGTGAGTAAAGATCCAGTTTTATTGACTTACAAGGCTGGGCTTTAAATAAGTGCAGTATCATCAATTTTGTCTCTTCCACATGTACCTGTATGGTATGTAGGAAAGACCAGGAGGAACTGGAAATGCTGGAATTTTCTTTGCACATTTGTTTTACAACATCTATTGTTTTCCAAGTTGCACACTTCAGCTGAATTGCAAAGCAAATGGAAGTCTTTGACATTTCACCTTTCATTGACTACTGTTTATTTTGTGTTTATTCCATGCCTCAAATGAAAATAGAACTCACAAGGAAATAAATTAGATTCATTAGTTTTATTGTTGTCTAAGTTCAGTGTGAATCGCCACCTAGTGTATATTTAAGACACTGCATAATTACAGAGATTTTTTAAATCAAGGTCGTAAAATGTCCTCAGAACACTTTCTATAGCTAGTGGCATTTTTTTTCTGTATGCAAGCAAAATAAAATCTGAAATCTACAAGAATCAAGAGATAGATATTCAGAAAAGGACTGGCAGGTGAAAGTTCAGAGATATGAGATTCATTCATCAGCTGGCCAAGTAGAGAGCAAAGATTAAAATGACAAAAACAGCACAAGATTTCTTTGCCAGAAACAGAGAAACACTTATTTTACAAATCACATAAAATAATGGGGAAAAATGAGGACAGACACAACCAACCTATTTATTGAAGCTGGCTTGCATTAATTTGTCCAGCACCACAAGGTAGGCAGCATCCAATACATGGCTGATTTTAAATGTGTTTTCTTTCATTTCAGATGACCGATTCCTTCAGGTGTGCATCTGATTTTTTAACCCACTGTCTGATAAAACATCATTGATCATGAGGACATTTATTAAATCATGGATTCCTCAGTGTTTGCAGATTCTTGGGTCACCTTGCAGGTTATTCCATGGATGCAACAGGCTGTTTACATCTCAGATTATTTCTTATTATGACTCTATAAACCAGTGTAAAAAGGAACTGCCGGAATATTTCAACTTTGCAAGTGATGTCTTAGATGAGTGGTCACGACTGGAAAAGGTAATATTTTTCTTTTACTTCATAGACATTGGAACAAATCTTAGATGATACAAATCAATTTTCCTGATTGATACTGGGTAGTATAAGCTGCAGAGTAGAATGCACTGCTTTATTTTTCTGTGTCAGAAATATGAGTGTCATTTTAAGACACTAGTTGCCAGGGTGAATTGGTTATCTGGAGTTATTTTGGATAGAAATGAAACATTTTAAGGTTTGTCTTTTGTTGCATTCTAGGTTGGAAGACAAACAGCAAATCCAGCTTTTTGGTGGGTAAATGATGAGGGAGAAGAGGTAAAGTGGAGCTTTGAAGAGCTGGGATTTCTTTCTAGGAAAGCAGCTAATGTACTTTCTGAGGCATGTGGTTTGCAGAGAGGAGACAGAGTTATAGTAGTGCTGCCTCGTGTTCCTGAATGGTGGCTACTGTATGTAGCCTGTATGCGAACAGGTGAGTGAGTTTACTGATCACTTGGATGCAGAAAAAATAAATAGAAGATATGAAAAGTACACTAAATTAAATTGGGAAAAAAAATGTAAGCAGGAATATGCTGCTGTGCCCTGTACAGTTCAGCTTTTGCATAGAGGGAGAATTGGCAGCATCCACACAGGAACCAAAGCAACACTGTACTAGGTGCTGAGCAGACATGGTCCAGTCAAACGCCTTCTTAGTTGAAGCCATTGAAGGTTGAATGGTGTCGTGGTTTAAACCCAGTCAGGTAACTCGTTCCCTCACTTCCCCCCCTTTCTTGCCCTCCCCCTGCTCTCGGAGGGACGGAGAGGAGAATCAAAAAGAATGCAACTCCCACGGGTTGAGATAAGAACAGTTTAGTAACTAAGGTATAACACAAATCACTACTGCTACCACCAATGATAATAATGATAAAGGAAATAACAAGGGAAGAGAATACATCATCTCACCACCAGCCGACCGATAACTCGCCCCCCCAGCCCGACCAAGCTCTGACCGATACCTCCTCCAACCCTGCAGTCTCCCAGCCCTTCCGGCTAGCTCCCAGTTACATCCTGGGCATGACGTGCTATGGTATGGAATACCTCTTTGGTCAGTTTGGGTCAGGTGTCCTGTCTCTGCTTCCTCCTGGCTTCCCCTCCTCCCTGGCAGAGCATGAGGCTCACAAAGTCCTTGGCCAAACCAAAACATCGCTTGTTATCAGCTCTGTCCCCGAGCTGAAAGTCAAAACACTGCACTGCACCAGCTACCAAGAAGGAGAAACATGACTGCTACTGCTGAACCCAGGACATTATCCACCCCTTATTCCATACCATTCACGTCATGCTCAGATCCCACATTTTCAATATACCATCACTCTTATCTCAGTGCATGGACCAGTCCCTATAAAGCTGCTGAGTCCATCTGGTCCATGATGTCAGGCTCCATCTCTTGTAACAGTCTTCCAGAGCAGGAGAGACTGTGTGCAGTGTTCACACTCGTGAATAACCTGGGCAATAGTGTCCATTGCTAAGTCCACCCCTCGATCATGAGTCCATCTCTGTGTTGCATCTCTGCTCTGATGGCCTGAAGTGCCATGGGCCCACCAGGCTCAAAATAATTCACTGTCCCCTTCAGCAGTTTCTGCAGCTTGTTGCTGGGGACTCCATACAGCTGCCTTCCATCTCCGATGCTTCCAAAGCACTGGAGGGGCCCAGTGGACTAGATACTTGCCCATACTGTCCCACACACCCTGCCACTCATGACTGTCCAGCCTTGGGGAAAACCTCTTGGTCCCCCTATATCCTCGTCTAACCCCAGACAAGACCCAAACCTGACTCTGCTTAACTTTTGAGATCAGACAAAATGGTGGTGGGTAGAACACAGTCTGTGTGAGTGCCAACATGCTGATCCCCATCACAATCAGCAGGCAGGTCCCAAGGATACCCAAAGGCCATTCAAAACCTTCAGAACTCTCAAACGATGCTGCTATACTTGTCACTGGGGCTGGTGTAGCTGCTGTACTTGTCACTGGGGCTGGTGTAGCTGCTGTGCTTGCCGGCTCTCCCACCGCCAGCTTCTCTTTTCCTGAGTCCAGCTCTTCCTCCTCTGCCTTGCTGGGAAATGCTGCGTGGTCTCCTGCATCCTCCTGGGGCTCGGCGGGCGGCTTCCGGGAAACGCTCTCGGCCGTCGCGGGGCTCGGCTCGGCCGCGGGGCTCGGCTCTTCCGCGGGGCTCGGCTCCTCCGCCGCCTTCTCCCGCTGCTCTGCAGCCGCCTCCTTCTGCTCCTCGACCGCCCCGACCTCCTCCACCGGCAGCCGTCCCCTCGTGGCCTCCGGCCCCGCTCCCGCCGCCGCTTGCTCCCCGGGGCCGCTCTCCCGGGCCGCTTCAGCAGCCGCCGGCTCCCGGGGCCGCTCCCCCTCGGCTCCCCGCAGCCTCACGAAGATGGAGAGTAGGGTGAGGGCCAGGACGGTGAAGAGCAGCCGGACGGCCAGGTACAAGTGCACGGCCACGTCCGTCCCGCCCTGCTGCTGGAGCCCGCCCGTATTACAAGCCATTGCCATAAAGCACAGTGAGACAAGAACCTTAGCCCAGGCCCCATACTTGATAAACACTATCACAGCAAATACCGGCTCTACGTAAGTTACAACATCCTGAAGCTGTGAGATCAAGCGAAACAACTCTGAGACCCAATAAATCAGCATTGTGACGAGTCACTATTAATCCGGTCAGATCTGTCGTTATCTCAACCCTTCGTGCCCCACGTTGGGCGCCAAAAAGAACTGTCGTGGTTTAAACCCAGTCAGGTAACTCGTTCCCTCACTTCCCCCCTTTCTTGCCCTCCCCCTGCTCTCGGAGGGACGGAGAGGAGAATCAAAAAGAATGCAACTCCCACGGGTTGAGATAAGAACAGTTTAGTAACTAAGGTATAACACAAATCACTACTGCTACCACCAATGATAATAATGATAAAGGAAATAACAAGGGAAGAGAATACATCATCTCACCACCAGCCGACCGATAACTCGCCCCCCCAGCCCGACCAAGCTCTGACCGATACCTCCTCCAACCCTGCAGTCTCCCAGCCCTTCCGGCTAGCTCCCAGTTACATCCTGGGCATGACGTGCTATGGTATGGAATACCTCTTTGGTCAGTTTGGGTCAGGTGTCCTGTCTCTGCTTCCTCCTGGCTTCCCCTCCTCCCTGGCAGAGCATGAGGCTCACAAAGTCCTTGGCCAAACCAAAACATCGCTTGTTATCAGCTCTGTCCCCGAGCTGAAAGTCAAAACACTGCACTGCACCAGCTACCAAGAAGGAGAAACATGACTGCTACTGCTGAACCCAGGACAAATGGTTATAAACTAAGGCCACGTTTAACCAGATACATTGTCAGTATGAACAGTTTGAATGCAGTAAGATGTATGACTGTCCTGGGTTCCGCAGTAGCAGTCATGTTTAAGACTGGTTAAGAATTCATCACAGTATCTTTTTGCTCAGCTATTACAGTTTCGCAAATTCTTTCACAGAATTTAACCCATTGCATTTTTAGAGCGCTAAGCATTCATAATAGAACAATTTAGCATCAACAGGGACATGATCAAGTATTTTTGTCCCACTTATAAGCTCTGTGATTTTGGTGGGTTGTAAATGTGGTTAAGGCTCAGAGAATCCAGTTCTATCTTATCCAAGATTTTTTTGGAATATGATGTGGGAGTAGCATTCAGTATCTCAGTGTCTCCATTTCCCAGTTGTAAAATTTGGTAGACATCTCTGAAGGTGCATGAAGACTGTAATCAGTATAGGTCAAGTCTGTTGAAATCCTTGGGAAAAGGAGGATATAGAAAGCACTAAAGGGCATAGAAGTGCACTAAATTGACATTCAACCACTCTCAATGTGATTTCAGTCACATTGTAGTCAGTATCCAAACTCAGGTTTGTTCACATTACAAAATGAGTCCAAGCTTGAGGGATTTGTTGACTGAGCAGCGTATGTAAGCTGCCTGACTCAATCCGTTTATCCCATATCAAGACGTATTAATTCCTTATTGAAATGAATAATGGCTTTATTCCAGATGTAAATATAATCCATATGCTGGTCGTCTTCATGTACTTAATAAAGGGGATGATAACACTTCCTTCCTGAGTTATAAATCATGAAGGAAATGCTCAAAACCACTCTAAATCTACATCTTACTCATGATATAGATAACTTTAATATGGATGACACAAAACTTAACATCAGTGCTTCAGGGTTTGAAGGTCTTTTAGAGCCAGATAATTCCAGGTCATTTCTAGGGCACAAATTTACCAAGCTCTGCCTACAAACATGAATTATACTTGAGTCCCGTTTCTCAGAGAATAAGAAATAGCTCAGCTTTTCTGTGTCTGGGGTCATGTCCTGTGAATGTAATAAAGAGAAATGGTCAATTTTCTAAATTGCTTGTTGTTTTTTTCCAGGAATTGTCTTCATTTCAGGAACATCTCAATTAACAGCCAAAGACATCTTATACCGACTCCAGACTTCAAAGGCCAAGTGCATCATTACCAATGACACACTGGCACCTGCAGTGGAATCGGTCATACCTGACTGCCAGTTTCTGAAAAGCAAACTAATTGTAGCCAAAGGGAGCAGAGATGGGTGGCTGAACCTCAAAGAACTCTTTGCGTGAGTATCTAGCTGTTACACCGTCACCCCTGTGAGGTGAGAAGCTGTATCAGGTGACATTGCTGAATTTTTTAATTAATTTCCAGAATGCAAATGAAATACAATTTTGCACCCCTCTGCCAACTTGCTGTAATCACTGCATTAGGTACAAAACCCCCCAACACACTTCTTGGGAGCTATGTTCAGATCTTTCTGCTGCTTTTTATTCAGCAGCCTGACAGTTTGTAAAAGCTCTTTGCTTCTACTGGGATCACAGGACAAGCACGCAGAATACTAATCTTGCAGTTGTTTCACACTTGTCTTCTAGAGCCCAGTCTAATGCCTCTTGAATTCAATGAGAAGATGCCCATTGCCAGCTCTTAGAGCTCAGCTAACCTGGGATCAGTTATTTCTTCCCTTTGCTATGTTGGTAGCCCAGACAATCTGAATTGCTCATCAGTCTCTTGAACATAAATGGTATAGTACATGTCTAGGACCTGGCATGATAGACTGAATTTGGCCCCCATTGTCTTCATATTGTGAGACAATATGTGTTGAGATAGAAGTTGGTTTTGTTCTGTAACAAGCACCCTGAGTGCCCTTGCGAAATAGTTGTAAACAAAGTCACTGGAATATGCTGTAGGTACTCACATCTTGAAAGTTACAGCATACAGAGCACACTTGTGACTAGCAAAATGTGCTCTCTAACTCTTACCTATGGTGTCTGATGCAACTATTTATTTAGTGAGATGTATGACTGTATAGTCAGGGGTTGTTTTCCTGTTTATTTCGTAAGCCCTGAGAAGTACTGCTTCCTTTGTGAAAAACTACATGCAGTAACTGTCATATACTGTTTCTTCTGAAGGGTGGCATCTGCTGACCATAAATGTGTGAAGACAAGGAGTCAAGACCCAATGATAATTGGTTTTACTAGTGGAAGTACAGGCTTTCCAAAAATGGTGGTGCAGTCCCACAGCAGTTACGGCATTGGATTTGCAACCAGTGGCAGGTAAACCTTGCAATTGCTCCCAGTGTCCTGGTTAAGTGACATGATCACAGTTAAATTTAAAATATGACTGTAAAAACTCCAGTAAATGTAGGCATTTCATAAGTGTAAGTTCTTGCTTCTTCTTCACCTTTCCCCTCTCACAGTGAATCCTTATTATAAAAAGCTTCTTGAAGACTCAGTAGACAGCATCAAACGCAGTGTTCCAGCGCGCAGAGGACTGACTGTGGAGTAGCAATAAGGGCAGCGTCCTTGTAGCAAAACCAGATAAAGTGCTTTAGTATTGTGTAAACCTTCCTTGAGAATGAAAGCAACCTTGGGCCATAGCGTTATACTTTAAAAGTTACAGTTTATTCTGAATCTCTGTTTTGGTACTGATTTGCTTTCATTTAACATCTTTTGTTTATGCTTTGAAGGAGTGAGAAATTTCATTAAAATCAAAGGATACATTTTCCAAGGAACACTGAGGTGGAACTTGATGATATATAATCCATAGAAGTAATACGATTAGTTTCATAGAGAAATAAAATGTGATTTAGCTGATGTCACTAATCCACAAGGTGGGGAAGGCCTACTCCAAGTGATCTGTTTGGTTTTTCATATAGATCCAGATTGTGCAACTCAAGCCAAGGATGTTCTGCACTGTTCAGAAGGAAAACAAATGCTGGAAATGTTAAACAGGAGGGAGTGATGGGAAATAAGAGAGTGTTTAAGATATTTCTACTCTTAGAAACTTTCTAAGAAGCCCTACTTGCTGACATAACATCTTCTAATGCAAGCCTCTTGCTCTTTAATTATGCTATGCCTGAGCCTTTCACACTCTATGAAGCATTTTTTTTTCTCTCTGTTTTATCACCAGGTACTGGATGAACTTGACTCCTTCAGATATAATGTGGAATACTTCTGATACTGGCTGGGTAAAATCAGCTTGGAGCAGTGTTTTTGCACCATGGATCTGTGGATCCTGCGTCTTTGTACACAATATGCCACAGTTTAAAACAGAAGTTATTGCACAAGTAAGTGTAACATTTATAACTGAGTTTTATTTCCATTTTGCATAACAGGAGCAAAGCCCATACAGAGCATGGATACCCACTGTTCTGTAGCAGAAGGGATAATAATTCCCACATCCCAGGCAATCATCCCCCCTTTTGGTGTCCAGAAACCTGAGGGAACATGTGTTCTCCATCCTGGTTAGGCCAAGTGACATGGCTACCGGGTAGAGGGGGTGTGGTGAAAGATGCAGGATAAAAAGAACTCAGGATCCCTGCTGTCTTGTCCCATATTTAGCCAAAGTTCACTTCAAGTACAGACTTAAGCTGCTTTGGGTTCAGGATGAGCATAGGCCAGTGATCAGAGTATGGCATAGATGTGAATCAGGGCCTTCTTATCCTGAATTTTCAGTGAGTTGCCAAAATGCCTGTTCCTCCACCCTGCCGTTTCACAAAACCAGTTAGCTGGCCTGTATGCCCCAATGTTGGTCTCTTGTGTGGAGAGGAGACTCAGACCTCCCAAGAATAAAATTGGAAAAGCTTTGATCTAGTTCACTGTTGTCACTTAGTCTTCAGCCTAGGGCGCAGTTGCCTGGGAAGCAGAAAACAATCTTAACTGGAGCTACTGCTTTCATTGATGTTCGTTTGCATAAGAATGGTATTTGTGAGAGCAGTGGGACTGACAGGTACAGCCACTCCACAGTCAGGATTCAGTCACCAATGCATAGGTGTTCTCTGTGTCGAATGTATGTTGCATTTTTATAGTTTTCATTTTGCAGACATTTGCAGACATAACTTGTGTTAATCACCTTCACATTTGCAGGATCAGACCCAACATTGCATTCTCTTTTCAGCAAAATAACTTTCTGTGTTTCCTAGACTCTCTCAAGATACCCCATCACTACCTTTTGTACTGTTCCCACTGCCTACAGCATGCTGGTCCAACATGATCTGAGCAGGTACATCTGAGCATCTGTCCATTCCAGGGGGAGCAGAGAGAGACTGGGATACAATACTGTGACAGCTGTAGCTGTTTAGTTCCTTATGTTGCTTATTTTTATTTTTTTCTATTAAAAGAAATATAATTGAAATTGCTCCAGAAAATTCTCAGTGTCTTATTTGATCTAGAATGTTGGCATGTAACTCAGCTGTCCACAAATATCTGATGAGCTTCCTCAGACTTCTCCTTTCTTGTTAGCTCTTCCAGGAGAACACCTTTCCTCCCTCTTCTTCCAGAAAAAAAAATAAAAAGCCAGCTACTTCTGTAGGCTTAAATTATAGGTTTAGACTAACAATAGTTCATGTGGCTTTAAACTAACATAGTACAGCAAACTGTTCTCACTTGCTAACACAGAGAGAGAAAGGAATGTTTGGCTGATGGGAAAAGCATCATCATAGGACTGATAACAACTAAGGAGACCCAAGGATGCTAGCCTTCAAGATAGCAGAGTGGTGCCCAATGTGGGGTGAGACTGGAACAGAACAGAAGCAAGGACATACCAGCTGCTTGGTAGTGCCTTGTGAGCATGTGCAAGCACTGAAGTCATTCAGTGAACACAGTGAGGAAGACTATCAGTGACCACCAGAGACCCCCACTCAGCAAGATAATAAGAATACATAATTAGAATGCAAATATTATAATTAGTTCATGGAAATAGCATGAATATGCAAGCTATTTCCTGGAAAAGCTGTAAATCTGCATGAGCGTGCTAAATATGTAACTGTTGCCAACAAGTAATGGGCGCGCTCACCTTTGCAACACTATTCACATGTGCACCCAGCACTGCAATAGAGAATGCCTGCCGGCTGAAACTCCAAATTGAGTCTTACAGAGTTTCTCTGACCAACTTTCATGGTAACACTTCCAGTGACACAGATGTAAACCCCATTGTCCTTAGTGGTAACATGAGCAATCTACGAGTTCAATCCAGATCTGTGTAGCGGGATGATTATTGTAATTTCCAAAGTAGCTTTTGAAGTTTTAAGCATACTAGCTCTGAAAGTTGAGGGAGGCTGTTCAGTTAAGACCATTCACTGCTCTTTTCAGCAGTTTAAGAAATAAATATTTAATTTGCTACTTCTCTCAAGGTATAAGTTCATGAGTCTGAAACACTGTGTAACTGGAGGGGAACCACTCAATCCTGAAGTGATGGCGAAGTGGAAAATCCAGACAGGGGTGGATATCCATGAAGGTTATGGCCAGACAGAAACCGTATGTTTGCATTAATTCTTGCAGTATGCCTTTTCAAAGGTAACAATACCAGAGGCACATTGTGCTTGACAAATCAATGGAAAAGGTGAGAATCATTTAAATGAATTATAGGCAATATATAATTATGCTTATATAGTTCCAAAATCAACTAGCAGCATGTTTTAATGTTTATAGGAAGTACTGTGACTGTGGAGTTCAGCCCTCTGCAAAATCCGTGCCAGAGATTATCTCAAAGAACGTGTAGTAGATCCCTTCCATCACCTTTACTTAAAAGGCAGAACTAAAAAGAAATAAAATAAATAATTTGCTCTGGGTATCAATTTGGCCTGTGTGAGGTTTTAATGAAAAATATTAAATCAGTTCACATCCAGACTTCTCTGCAAGTGAATATTAACGAAGCTATTAAGAGTCAGATTTCAGGCATTCTCTCTCTCCTCTTACCCTTGGTATAGTCCCAAATTAATTGTCCCATTAGTGAAATAGAATCTGTAATAATTTCACATCTGCTGTCTTGCAAAATCAAGTGTTTTCAGAAGAACCCAGTGGCTCAGACTGAGCACAGCCAACCTCATTCCACAAAGCTGAACTAGAATGCCTCTCAACCCTCTCTGATGTGCTTGAGTACCACAGTGCGTTAGTCCTGATTCAGCCCTTGTCCCAACAAAGTCATGAAGAGGTGTCATGCCTAACGGAAACAATAATAAAGTCTACAAGATGTTGCACAAATGAAAAATAAAATCTATTTGCAGGTGACAATTTGTGCCAATATGAAAGGGATGAAAATTAAACCTGGCTCTTTGGGAAAACCTGTTCCCCCTTATGATGTGCAGGTATGTTGGTACGTCTCAGCTCAACTGAGCTCAGCTGCAGTTGTGGGTACAAGAGTAAGGGAACAATGTCTGTGTCCCTTCTCTGCCCTGCACTGTGCTGTAGCAGATATTTAATTGAGCTAATCAAAGCTGTAATGATGTGTTCTTTCTGCAGATCATAGATGACCATGGGGATGTTCTGCCTGCAGGAGAAGAAGGCAACATTGCTGTCCGTGTTAAACCAACGCGACCATTCTGCATGTTCTCTGAGTACTTGGTAAGTCTTGGTCTGTGCCTTCCAAGAAGCTGAAGAGAGATCCAGGGCAAAGTTCTGACTTATTCAAGAAGCAGAATTTCATCTAGGATCTTCACAAAGTCTCCCTAGGCTGCTTGAGGACTTTGAGCCTGATCAGTACATTGTTCTGAGAATCCTGGAACAGACTGGCAGAGCATAACTTCAAGATGCAATATAAACCAGGTGCTACCTTGTTCCAGACCTGTACCTCGTAGTTGGCACAAACTTCACATTCAATGCATCACTCCTTTCCATTCTACTCCCATCCTTGGCTAAGGATTAATGAAGGAAGCTCATAAAGGCTACTGTAATACATCAAAAGTTCAGGAAGACTTTCCAAAGAGCACAAGTATGTTACGACCTCATATCACTGTCAGAGGTATCAATAGATTTCTCTCTTACATCTTTAAAAGTTACCACCATGCACGTATATCTGGTGTCAGAGAAACCCTTTGTACAGTGATGATCCCATGGGTTTGTGGTAGTGGCATATGTAATCTAACATCACTATTCAAATGGGAATGCTCTACCCACTGCAACCAGAACAGGTTTAACAGAATTCAGAAAAATGGCCATCTTGGTTCAGATCAAAGGTCCATCTAAGGTAGTATTCAGTCTGCGATGGTGCTGAGTTGTAGTATGTACTTAAGAAAACACTAGAATCAGGAAGATACAAAGATACTCTTCACTGCATTTGAACTATCATGTTGTGTATGCTTTGGGAACCTGTCTATGTGTTTAAACCTCCTCTGAAACCCCATAAGATTTGGATATTTTTAGCATCCTCAAACAACAACTGGCACAGAGTAATTACTATGTGATAAAAAGCTCCTTTTGGTTCAGTACTATTATTTCAACTTTTCATTTTGTCTTCTGTCGTCAAGGTGTTTTTCCTGTGTAATATGCACCTGATAGATCAGTTTAGGTAGTGAAGTTTTTCCTGTAGGTCACCTCATTTGTGTTTTGATCTTGAAGGCTGGGGGGTAAACAGTTTCCACTGACAGGAGGTCATTGTGGCAACCCCGTGCAGTGATAAATTATTTCCCTGAAGACAGTAGGTTATTCAGTTTAGTAATTTGCTGTGATGGATGAGCATTTTGATTTAACACAGCCTTTTTTCCCTAGCACATGAAACCATATCTACACAAATGATGTTTTCCACCTCTCACAAGTTTCCACCACAAAATTGCTGGTTTTCTTAATTGAAGACATAAAATAATACTTACGTTGAGAACAACTTAAAAATTGTCGTGATCGTTTTTAGCATCACTGAAAATAAATACATTACATTTCATTACATATATTACCTTTCACTAACAATCAGATACATTTTTTTACATGTTTGATTGTTGTCAGGATAATCCAGAGAAAACTGCTGGCTCTGTGCGTGGAAATTTTTATGTCACTGGGGACAGAGGGATTATGTGTGAAGAAGGATATGTCTGGTTTGTTGGAAGAGCTGATGATATAATTAATTCTTCTGGGTGAGTCAGTTGCTATTAGCAGTGCTCATTTGTCTGTTAGAAGTCAATCTGAAACACCAGTTGAGTGGCTGCCTTGCTGCAGCTGTCATATCTGCTTTTTCTCCCAGGTATCGCATTGGCCCATTTGAAGTTGAAAGTGCATTAATGCAGCACCCTGCAGTCTCAGAGGTAGCTGTTGTCAGCAGTCCTGATCCAGTTCGAGGGGAGGTAAATAGAAAAAAAGAACATATAGAAAGAAATACACTTTATTCTGAGCATCAAGTTCCTTGTATGTACTAGGCTGCTTTGGAATTAAGATGTTGCTAATTTATAAGATTAAAATCAGTCAAAAAAACTTTAAACCCATACCTTGACAAATCTTAGAATTTCATTATTATTTCCTTGTTTGCAGGGTTTTATTTGGGGAAAGAAAAGTTTGCCTCTTAAGACTTAGTTTGGCATCTTTTTGTCTAAGAACTAGGATTCAGATTATTTCTCTTTTTGTCACTAAGCACCTGGTAGCAATTATATGCAGAGTATGTAATTTTTCTTTATGTTTCAAAGTTGACAATATAGAAGCTTTGAGCTCCAGGGTGAGATTTTCAGCTGGTTATTTTTTTTGTTGTTCTACAACTTTCTGAAAGTTTAGTAGTGTATAAAGTGGAAAAAATAGCTGCAGAGTATTTCCTTCATAATATTGCATTCTGTAATAAACAGCCAATGAAAAGAGAAATTAGAGAAAAAGCTCAAATTTTTGCATTCTGAATTTTGATACTCAGTTCTGGCAAGAAATATATCCCTTTATTCCCATGTCTGGAAGGTAATGGGGTCCCTTAACTTTTGTGGTACAGGTAGTCAAAGCCTTCATTGTTTTAGCTCCTGCTTATGTGTCACACGATCCAGAAAAATTAACTCATGAGCTTCAGCAGTATGTCAAGAAGGTGACTGCACCTTACAAGTATCCGAGGAAGGTAAGTACACCACAGAAAGACAGGTCTTCTAATGGCATCAGACATTGAACAGTCTTTGTACTGCTTTGTCTTCTTTTCAGCTGCATTCTGACAAACACCCCAAGCATAGTTAAATAAAATTAAAATAAATTACAGGGTCTGTTGCAGCTGTGGCCGTGGGTTCACTGTATGTGCTGGAAAGAACCCATAGGGAGGAAATGGTAGTGTAAATTGCTTTTATCAGAGTCCTTTCATAAAATACTGAGGTTTTCATAGCAACTCAAGGGCAAGATGTTCAGCTCTTACAAATTCTGCCCTGGAGCTCTGTTCAGACTCTCACCCAAAGCAAAGGGGAAATTCCTGCTGGCATCAGATGGGTTGGAATCCATCCCTTATAACCAGAAAAAAACATCAGTAACTCCCTGTCCTGACAGCTGAAGCACTTACCTCTTCAGGACTGTGTCCCTGCAAATACTGCCTGTGCAGTCAGATAAGATGTGTGGTAAGGAGTTTCATCATCCCAGCCCCAAGTTGTGCAGCTTCCCATCTTTTTACTCCAGCCATAATTAAAGTGTCCCTTCCTTGCACCCAGGAGTTTAATCAGAATGTTATTTCACTAAAAGTGAGCATTTTTGCCCTTCAGGTGGAATTTGTTCAGGATCTGCCAAAGACGGCTACTGGGAAAATCAAGAGAAAGGTTCTAAGGAACAAAGAGTGGGGAAGAGTCTAATGTGATCTGGAAACTGAGGAGAGAAGATTCCCATCATCTGTACCAGCCATAGTGCATCACACTTGGCATGTGGTCAAGACCCAGAGCACTAGGAGAACTTAGGAAAAAACAAGCCATAGGAAAAAAAAGGGGGAAGTAACACTCACATGGCTTGAGAATGCCATCGGCCTACAGATTTCCAGGAGACAGCAGGTGAAAGTAATTAAGAATGAGGACTAGGAGAGAAAAAGGTGATTACAAAGGTTTAATTATTTTACTAGAATTAGTATGAAAAGCTTCCTTAAAAAAAGTGTAATGACAATATTTTAATAATGTTTACAAATAAATGAGAAATTAATAAAAATCGTCTTTCTCCTGTAGTGGGTATCAGCAGTGAAGTGATATTCTCTCTTCAAAACCTACCACTGTAACATTCCCAATTTCTTTCTGTCTGGAAGGAAAAAGACATGCTCTTTAATACCTTCCTCTTGATGAATTTGTGATCTACTTAAGTGGTTGAAGTGGGGGAAAAAAGAAGATACAAAGTACTTTAGGTAAAGGTGCAATTTACGCACAATTGACAGCAGTGTAAATGATTACATGAAAAAGGTTGCTCCTCAGGAAGAATCGTGCTTCCTGGTCTGTTTTGTGCTATGTCCTCATTACTGCAAAAGAAGCAAGAGAAAGAGTATAAAGGGTTTCACTCCAAATCCTTTTTGGCAGAATGTCATGTTTGTCAGGTTCAGATAAAAGCTAATCTTTACAGTGGCTTGTTTGGGAAACATAGGTCCTGAAAGCAGAATGAATTGAATGAAGAGGATTTACCCAGCCAGCTCTCCATCTATACTGTCCACAACAAACAGGTCAGGAAAACATTGTTTGAATTCCTAGTGTTGCTGACGGTTGAGAAGCAGCAGATGGTACTAAATTAGGAAAAATAATGTCTGATTCTTGCAGCAGTTCAGAGGTCTTTGCCATTACCGGTCTTTTCCTCAATTTTTTCATTTCATTTTCACCTGTAAGCTTGCTGGTGAAAAAGTGCTAAAAACTGAAGGCTGTCACAGGAAAACTGTGATGGCATTTTTATAGATAATTAGGGAATCCTGGATTTAAAATGTTTATCTTTCTACCGGTCCCGAATACCATTTCCAATCTTGAATACTATTCCTGAATGTTCTTTCTCTCCTATTTACTTCACAGGCTATTGTGTAAATTTTGTTATTGCAATGCTCTTAAATCTGCAGATTAGAGCTAAACCGTAGAACCAGAGAAGACTAAGAAATGAGAAGTGTCTGTGTTATTAAAAGGAATAATCAGAGTTATTAGGCTCTTCTCTTAAAGGAATTAAAGTGAATCCATTGGTTTTTAGCATTAACAGTGGAGGTCATGACCTCGAAGAAAGGTTACATTTAACAAAAATCTTACCTGTTTTTACTGCCAGTTGTTTCCTCATGTAAGAAAAAAAAATAAAAAAAAAAAAATTAATGTCTATCCCAAAATATGATAAAACCCCCCCGAATTAATGTCTATTTTCTATGGATGTAATTAGGGAATACTTAAAATACCTTTTTTCACTAGTAAAATCCTTTTAGATTAATTTTTTCTGCCAGGTGCTATTAATAGAGTTTTGATTTAAAAACTCTATGTAAAATGTAAGTACTGTCTAAGTTTCTGCTCTATAATCATCATTCTGAAGTGGGTGACACTTAGGGAGACAACACTTAGTTTTATATCCATGTCCTGTGATTGTTTCTCTGGAGCAAATTACTCCTTACAGGTTTATTTACAACTGGTCGGTATTTCTGTACCCCAGTCTCAACGTAGCATGAAGAACGCTGTGAATTACTGTTGATTTAACAACATATCTATTCTGGGGGAAAAATTATGCTGTCAGATATCACTGAAAAGATTAAGTTTTCCAAGTTCTAGGTATTTGAGTTCATTCACCTGGTAAGCAGATTAAATATTACTGTAAAAGCTTCTGCTAAGGAATAAGGAGCTGTTAAATAATTTACTTTTTCTCAGGGGATAAAATTTGACCAGAACTGAGATCCAGGCATCAGAGATGTAATGATAAGTGGTTACAGTTGAAGGCACAGGACAAAAGGTAAAGAAATACAAAAAAAACTTTAAACCTTGGGACAAAGGGCAAAACTTTGCAGCTTTGTTCAGGCCACAGAACTTCCCACATGGCAAGGAACTTAGCTGAGAGCTTACCTATAATATGGTTGATAGTTTGTGAATAGCTTCATCCTTTGTAAGAACAGAAAATTAACCTGTATTTCAGCAGTTACTCACCTTAAACTTAGTAACCTGTGCTTGTGGTTAAAAAAGGCATAGATAGACCTAGGTTTTAGGATCATCAACTGGCTCCTGCTCTGACTGCAGGCTCTCCCAGATATGTTTGATAATCTTAATGTACAAGAAACCTCTTGATAGCTTTGAAATGTTTGGAGTTGAGCACAGTCTTCTAGGTTGTTGAAAATGATAGTAGTAATATAAAAAGAAAGAAAAGAAGTGCAATGGAAAGGAAGAAAATAATTTGACCTCAGAGCTTTTAGAGTCATTATGGGGAGTATAGATGGAAGAAGGCATTTACAGCGAGCAAATGTAGAAGTGTCTAAATAAAATTTGGGGACCTATGTAAGGGATTACTGAAGCAAAGGTTCTCTGAGATATGTGGTGATGAATGGATATATCAGTCAGCAATTATTCAAGCTAAAGCAGTGAGAATCTTGATGGAAATAGTCTGGAAACATCCTTCAGCTCCATGTGAAGGAAAAGGAATAGAGAATCAGCTACTGAATGCTTTGGAGTAAGAACCAGTAACCTTCTTGCATTGCAAACAATAACCTCTGAATTTGTGTTTGACTAAGGAGAGTTGTGGACAATTAACAGCCCCAGAGATCCATAAGGGTCTGCTGAGTTACAGGGAAGAAGCCAGATTAGTACAGTACATTAAATCCTTAAAAAGCTGATGGTAAAAAATGAAAGAAAGCAGGATGGAGAAGTTCACATCTAATTGAACTGATAAAAACATCAGTTTGGCTGTGACTAGCCTAAGTGACTTCAAATAATAACTTCAAACTGAATTGTCTTTGGATAATCTTAAGGTTCTTTTTTTCTTTTGTTGTTGCTGCAGGATTCACTGCAACGATTCTGCTAATTTTCATATAGTCTATAGCATCTACGTACATCCTCTTCTGCCATGAAGCTGTTGTTCAAATTACAGACTCTAAAATCTTTGTGGACTTTGAAGCCTCCTAATAGAACTTTCCATGGACACCCCAGGCTGCTCACATCTGATGTATATTCACAGTATGAGCCTGTCAGGCAGGGCAAACAGGAAATACCAAAATACTTCAACTTTGCAAGTGATGTACTGGACAAATGGTCTGAAACTGAAAAGGTAGTCATCTTTTGGTGTGCAGATGAGATACTTTAATTTGAAATTTTCCTTGAAATAAGTTGGGCATTTCTTTTATCAAAAAAATCAGTTGTCAAAACCCGTTTGCATTAGGAAATGATACAAAATCTCATTCTTTCTTGCTTTATTTTAAAAGTGTCCCTGACCCTTGGTGCTTCCTATATAGGTAGAAAAAGCAGTGGTAAGTCCCTTTTGACTTTGATTTAACTTCGGAATGGCTGTGTTTATTTCTTCTGCATACTATAAGATATTCACATCATAAAAATACAGGTAACATAACAATAACATCGCATGCTAAGGAAAACTCTCACACAAATATTTTAATTGCCTTGTCCCAAAGTGGATTTGTCCAGATGCCCTATAGTTGAAGACCACTTAACTCTCCTGCTCTTGGCACTGTGTCATCCTGTTGTTTTATTTTGTCCTCTGTCTGTACTGCTTGTGTTTAAGAGTGTTCCACAACTTCATCCAGAATATCAGGAGTAGTATGTGAAGTATATCCTATTATCTGCTATTTTGTAGGAGCATTAATGCTGACCATAAGGTTTAAACTGAAATAGGGTCTAGACTAGGCCTTGAGACTGGAAACAGTTTAGCTGGTAAACATTTCTGGTTCAGAAAAGGAGAATTTATTGGAAATACCTGAGCTTGATCCATTAAGGACAAAGGAAAAAGTAATAGTTTATATACCAGTTGTGAAATACTCAAAACTTGCAGATACTCAGTATTTGCAGATATTTGTGCATTATAATTTCATGTTTTTTTCAGAAGAAATGTTTTGGGGTTTGATCCCTGTATTTTATAGGCTGGAAAGAGATCATCAAACCCTGCCTTTTGGTGGATAAATGGAGAAGGTGAAGAAGTGAAGTGGAGCTTTGAGGAGCTGGGGTTCCTGTCTCGGAAAGTGGCAAATGTACTGACTAAAGTATGCGGACTGCAGAAGGGGGACAGAATTTTTGTGGTCCTGCCACGAGTTCCAGAATGGTGGCTGATAACTGTGGCTTGCATGCGAGCAGGTCAGTGAGCATATCTGAGACTGGTAAAACTGGCTAATGCAAATTGGTTGAGAGGATCAAGAATTTAGCATGGCTTGTAAAGAAAAAGTAATAATCTAGGGAGTATCCTAGCTATGCAGGCAGTCTTGGATGATTTGCACTAGGTGCTGTGGGAAAAGTGGCCTGTACAGCAGGCATGGAGGTGAAAGAAGTCAGGGAAGAGCCATGGAAGCCACCAGGCAGGTCCATGTTTCATTCCTTACTGGAGAGCACAAGCAGCTCCACTATTCCACTATAACTGTTTGGCTTGGGAATGCCAGGGGAAATTAATCTCAGAGGTCAGTTTAGGATTAGTTAATAGTTTAGGTTCTCAGAAAAGGATCAGATGTGAAAAACGCTATCCCTAACTAACTTTACTGCTCTTCCAGGAATTGTCTTAATTCCAGGAATATCCCAGTTGTCAGCCAAAGACATATTATATCGACTCCAGGTGTCAAAAGCCAAGTGCATCATTACCAGTGACACACTGACTCCTGCTGTGGACTCAGTGGCATCTGAGTGTCAGTTTCTGAAAACCAAGCTAATTGTGTCCAAAGGCAGTAGGGAAGGATGGCTCAACTTCACTGACCTCTACAAGTGAGTATGAGTTAGAGACACTACAGTCATGTTGCAGAAGGCAGACCTGTTCTTCACAAGTACTCATTTACAAGTATTCATTGTAACACCAAATTGCCAGCATTAAGGTGTTAATTGTGACAGCTTGATTGTTGATACACATGAGAATTGTTTACCAACAGTGGTCTTGTTCTGGGCAGTTTCTGTCCTGTTCTTAAGGGGAAGTCTGTCTTTGAGGAAGTGTAACTCCAAATTATTTTAGTCTGATTTGGTGAAAAGCTTCTGTGAAGCTTATTTGGGGTAGGAGTTCTGCAACATGCAATAACTTAATTACATTCTGAAGCCTGTGTAAAGTAACCATTGAATTATTTGCATTATTGATTATTGCATTCTCTATTTTAAAGAAACCAATCTGCTGACCATTCCTGTGTCAAAACAAGGATTCAAGACTCGATGATTATCTTCTTTACCAGTGGAACCACAGGTTCTCCAAAGATGACTGAACATTCCCAGGGTAGTCTTGGTTTCAGACCCCTTTTAAGTGAAAGGTATGAAAGGTCTGAGCCTGGTTGAACTTGGGGTAATTAAAGCTGCATAGTAGAACTGATGAAAAATAACTGAATAAGAAATACCAATGTATGGCTCTAGCCCTTCTCTCTCCAAAATCAGACTAGAAACTCCAGCAGATTTCTAGGGCAGTAGGATCACCCCCAGTGTTCCAATTTTTCAATGAATAGATGTTATCCTTTCTTTGGAGTGGTTCAAAGGACAGCCATCAGCTGGAAATGGTTTGGTGCAAAGAACCAATATATATTGTGCTGTTAGGGCTGCAAAATGCTTGGTGATGTGTAGATGAGCAGAGGTAGAGTCTATATTGGTTGAACAGATCATCCTGTCCCATAGCCTTAGAACTGAAATACCCGGTGTCCAACAGAGCGTCCATCAATGCTGCTACTTCAGCCCTATCTTCCTACCTAGTGGAAAGTCACCTTATTGAAAGAAATTCATACTACTCTCTTCCCCTTACTCTGTCTTATGAATGTCATCATATATGTATGATATACATGTGAGCGTATACTTATGCAAGCATATAGTTAGGTGTCCTTTTATCCTAGGGCTAGCTCATAAAATAAGCTTATTCAGAGCGCACAGTGCACATGTATCTTGTGAGAAATCTCGTGCTTGTTGGTTTTTTGGTTTGTTTTTTTTACATTTTGGCTTTTTTTAGTTTTGTAGTTCGGGTGAAGGTGTTAAGCATAAATTTTTCATTATCTTTTTGATCATTTTTTTCTGCTCTATCAGGTATTGGTTGGATTTGACTCCCTCGGATGTGATATGGAGCACAGCAGACACAGGATGGGTAGTAGCTTCACTGGCATCTGTTTTTGATCCCTGGGTTTTCGGATCATGCGTCTTTGTACATAAGCTACCACGGATTGAATCAGCAGTCATCTTAAATGTAAGGAAAAACTCATGGAGATGTGTCAGTTTGCAGAAAGAGCACAAAAAAAATATTCTTAGCAGCATCTATAGATCTCATGACTGTTGTGTTTGAGATGCTGTGTCTGTTGTATAAAGCCTCTACTTGCATCTTTGATGTACACAGAATAGGCCAAACCTGCCCTTCATTCACACATTTTGCTTATATCTGGTGAGCACGTGAATGAAAATCATCCAAAAGCAGCACTAATGGCTGGTATTAATGCAGACTGAAACCTAAATGTTCCTCTGCCCATGCTGACCAAGATGAAAGTGAAAACCTTACCTACAATGTTGACAAAGAGGAGCCTATTCTGGCCATGCTCCAAGCTACGTGGTCTGGGTGTCACATCGACATGTTAGCACGGGATTTTGTCGTACCAAATATCCTGTGAATCACTGCATATTACACTAACTGCAGGAGGGTTTCTTACCCAACAGAGAGTGTATGGTGCTTTTCCATAGAAAGGGGAGCATACATTTTCCTTCTAGATTACCTATTCACTATACATCCAAAACGCAGTTTTTTTGTCTCAGCTTCATATGTCTGTCTTGTTTAACTCACTAGACTCTCTGCAGATTCCCTATTGACACACTGGTTAGTGCTCCAACATTGTTCCGCATGCTGGTACAAACTGATGTTTCCAGGTATGTCAAGGAATTGTTTACTCAAATTTATCCAAACCAAACTTTAGTGATCTCCCAGATCTAGCTGTTTGACCAAAAATAGGGTAGTAGTTTAGTTTAAAATACCCTTCATGAAAAGACTGGCATAGAAAATGTCATAATTTTCAATTACTGAATTAATTTTCCATGCCTTGGGAAGGAGTGTCATCCTAGAAAGCGGGTGTCAGCATATCTGTGAGGGAGTGACTTGTTGTGGCAGTTGTACATCACCCCCTGCTCCACTTCCCACTGACTGCCACTGTTCCTGCCTCCCCTCTTGCATTTTCCCACTTGGGCTGCTGCAGAGGGTCAGCAGTCAGGGCCCTGACCCAGCAAATTGCTCTGTGATTCGTTATAAGCATGTCCTTAAATCCCAGCTGACTTCAGCAAAAAATTTACTTTGTTTTTCATGCGTGTTTCATTCTGACTACTACTACTCAGAGTGTTGAGCACAGACTGATGACTTTGCTGTATCAGGAGCTGAAGGATCAGGGTTCCTCTGATTTCCCCAGTTCATGGGACTAACTCTCCCAGTAAACAGCTCCCCAGTATTATTTGTTTGTAGTTGCATGTTCCTTGTCTTGCCACTAGATTGAAATACTGCTTCTTTTGTTTTTTAACTCCTTGTGAAGCTACAAATTCATGAACCTGAAGCACTGCGTGAGTGGAGGAGAGCCGCTCAACCCAGAAGTTCTGGAGCAGTGGAAAAGCAAGACTGGGCTGGACATCCATGAAATATATGGGCAGACTGAAACGGTACATCTGTAGGGTCAATGTTCTGTTAAATCTTTATAACTCCTTTTTGTTGCATGATGTTTTCATGGTTTGTTTTGAAAGAACACAGCCTGTTTCTTCCTTGATGTTTCTATGAGTGTCTCAGACCCTTGCCACGATAACCTCTGAAAGAAACAATTTCATGGCTCTCCTCACAGAACCTGCCAGAAACATGGATTGCTGAGAGGAAATGTGCTAATTTCCATAAATGTCCTTCAGCAAATCCCAAGAGACAGGGACAGGCAAGAGGGCAGAGTCTGACTCTTAAGGAAAGGGACTGCTTAGCAGAGGGCATTAGTTCTTTGCAGATTATGGAAAAGTATCCTTTCAGGGAGTTTCTTGGTTTTGCTTATCTGTACCACATAGCTCTGACATACAGGATCCTATGAATCTTAATTCCTTACTTTGGAATTACTCTAGAAAGTGCATTTAATGAATTGAATATAAATGTAGCTGTTTTCTATTGTAAAACATTGATTTAATTTTGATTTTTTCAGGGAATAATCTGCTCTGGTTTTAAAGGAATGAAGGTTAAACCTGGATCAATGGGGAAGGCAGCTCCCCTTTACGATGTTCAGGTTTGTTGGCTGCTCTTAAATTCTTTCATCAAGTATTTTGTTTGGTTGGGTTTGGGTTTGTTCTGGGTTTGATTTTCCCATTGGACTAAAATATGTGTTGTTTCTCGTTCTAGATTGTAGACAAAAATGCTAATATTCTGCCTCCAGGACAACAGGGGGAAATTGCTGTCAGAAGCAAACCTATAAAACCACTTGGTTTTTTCTCTGGATATGTAGTAAGGACTTCATTTTATTCACACCACCACTGATCTGTCCAGTTGAGCATAGTGGCTCAAAAGGTTGAATATTTTTCACCAGTTTATTATTTATCACCAGAGTAATCTGTTTGTTTGGATTGATGGATGTTAGAAAATGGAAGAGTTTGCTGAAGATTGAGTTAAAATTTTATAGCAATACCAGTAAAATTCTTGAACATTCTTGACTGAAAAATTAAGTTTCAGTGCATTTAATGTTACGTGTGTTATAGCACAATGTATAGGTAGTGCATGTTCAAAATCTAAACTACTGTTTGTAAACCACTTTGAGGATAACCCTAAGAAAACGGCAGAAACTGAACGTGGGGATTTTTATGTCACTGGAGACAGAGGGACTGTGGATGAAGATGGATATTTTCAGTTCATTGGAAGAGATGATGACATCATCATTTCTTCAGGGTCAGTTTGCACACTTCCTTTCAAAATCTGCCATTGTATAATCCTACATGTTGTGTTCCTCGTGAGCTTCTGACATGATAATTCTGTGATGAATGCATTGACCTTTGATTTAGGAACACTTGCTTTTATTATTAACTTTTCATAGACTTGCAGTACCATCTTGGTGATGTCAGTGGCATCTCTGTCAATTTCACCTGCAACATCTTGTCTGTTTCAACAAGAAGTGAAGACTGCCATTGACAGAGGAGGGATTTTAATCTAGTTTGGGTTTTTAACTAAAATTGAAGGACATTGCTATCAAAAGAACATTTGAAATGTTTTATTTTTAACGTGGTGGAATGAAACAATTTTATGTTATATGATGTGATACCATAACATGACATTGGCTGGTACTACAGACCCCAGCTATCAGGTTGAGATGGAGCTCCAGTGTAGGAGCTGCAAGGAAAGGGGAGAGATGGGAGAGCCTCAGCAGTCCTCTACCACATGACTGCCATGAAATGCTCCTACCTTTTAACACAGCGAACCTTCCCATTCTGCCTGAGTTTTCTGTAGTTGGTTGTTGGTTTGTTTGGGGTTTCTTCTGCAATATGAACATTAAAAACCCATTTGGTACTGGTTTTCCAGCTCATAAAGACAAATCCTACTTTTTTTTTTTCCTTACCTAGATATCGCATTGGGCCTTTTGAAGTAGAGAATGCCCTGATAGAACACCCAGCAGTAGCAGAAACAGCTGTTGTCAGCAGCCCAGATCACCTCAGAGGAGAGGTAATGATGGCTGAGCAGTGGTGGGGGAAGCAGTATGTTTGTTTAAATATGTAATTTTATAAGGCAGTTCCTACTTTACTGAATAATGTACAGCTCTAAGGCAGTCGTGTCATCACAGATAATCCTGTTTGGGATGACAGACAAAATCCCTTCTTATTTACATGCCTTTGCTTTTAGTTTATTTTCATCCCAAGATCTTCTCTGGAGAATATTACAGTGATGTTTACTTTCCTCTTGTTGTTAAGCACTTGTCTATACACTGAAATTGTCTTTTTTTGGCTGTCTTGGTGTAACCAAAGTTATTCTGTACTAGCATACTGTAACTGGCATTAGAAAGCACAGTGCTGTGTGGGGATGATATGGGCCTTCTGTCCCCCATGTGAACTTCAGAGAGAAACAAAATGTCCCTCAGCTTCAGGGAGAGCTCTGCAGAGGCACCTTTTATTACTCCTCCTTCTTGATGCATACTGATAAGATAGAGCAAGTGCTCTTGCTTTGTAATGAGAGAAGAAAAACTGCTTTCAACTTTCCCTTCTGTGAGACATGTGCAGAAGCTGGGCACAGCCATTTCTTACATCGTGCTGGTTTCTCTGCTCCTCCCTTTTGCATGTCATGAGACTGAGCAGTACTGTTCACTGGTAACTTGTGTATGAGCTTTTAAAAATAAATGGTGTTAGATCACTTCTGTTGACAATTTCTTACAGGTTGTGAAAGCATTTGTGGTCCTTTCCCCAGCTTTTTCATCCACTGATTTACAGAGTTTAACCTGGGAATTACAGGAGCATGTCAAGAAAACTACTGCACCATATAAGTACCCCAGAAAGGTAAATGCTTCTGAGATGGTCAACCAGGTCACCCTTCCATAAATCTCACAGAATTACTATTTGGATTTTCATGATTGACCTGAAAGAGACAGTGGCAAAGATTCAGCTAAAGCCCTGGCTCCAGGAAATCTTTCCTAAATAACATTTGCTTATTTTGGTTTTCATGCATTTGAGTTAAGTGTTTGCTTAAACCTCCCAAAAATTTCTAAGCTTCATATATTATGCTAGTTAGCTCTGTGTATTTTAAGTCAGCCTCACAATTATAATTCTCCATTTTGTATTTAACCTTCAACTGAGCACTCTCTAGTGACTTTAGGGTAGTATCTGACTGAGTCTGAATAAATTTTTATCTACTGCTGCTCACAGTTAATATGTAAGATAAAAGCCCAGGAGGATACACTTGGTGTTTCTCAGTTATCCCAGCCCTACAGGAGAAGAGCTACTAGCAGTGCCCTAGTTCACTTGTGCAGAACTCATAGGAACTAAAGACCATAGTATCTCTTTCTTCTTCTATCAGTTGTCTCTGACTTCTGATACCATTTAGGTATTCATCCTTCTGTTACAGTACTGATGCTGCAGTACTCGGTTAGTTGGGAGGCAGCTACACAGGTCTTTGGCCTGTAGGTAGCCAAAGAAACAGTTTGACAAATGGCATAATACACTGCTTTGATTTGGCTTGGACTTGATCCTTTAGGCAAGCTGTTCTTACTGACAGGAGTCGTCTTAGTTTTCTGCATATGCTAAGAGCTAGTCTTGGAAAATCAACTCTGTGGAACTTGCTACGTTGTTGTCTGTCTTTTTTTATTTAGGTGGAATTTGTCCAAGAGCTGCCAAAAACAGTCACTGGGAAGATCAAGAGGAATGAATTAAGAAAGAAAGAGTGGGGACAGATGTAGCACTGTTTGGAAATTAACAGAACTTCTTTCATTCCATTAATGAATTGCACATTTCCCTGATGTAATTGCCTTCCTCTGTTTTGTTAAATGCCTGAGTATCAAAAGCTATAGATAACACCAAGATGTGATGTTTGCACCTGCTTCCAAAGTGTCAGTACCACTGTTTCAGTTCCTGAAGCACTGCTGGAAAAGGGAACAAATGATACAACTCCATTCTAGTCCCAAATGTCCACAGGTTCACCAGAATTTGGCTGGTGACCCATCTCTTTTAGATAGCATTCAGGATGAGTGAAGAGATATTGCTGATTGTCGGTTGTCTAGCTCGAAGCTGCAGAAAAGGCAGGAATGGATTTGAGTGGTTTAAATGCTCTGTACTTAAATGCAGTGTGTTTAATCTGAATGCAGCCCTCCTATCACTTATTGAAGATGGAAAGACTCCTCTTTATTGATATCACCATACGACCTTCATAAACCTTTCTTGATTAATACATGTCTTGATGATAAGCAGTGCTAGCTTCTCCTGTGCTTTATCCACAAATAACGTCCATGCAGAAGTAGCTTCATTGTTCCCCTCTGTTCCAATGTTTGCATACAATGGACAAAACTCCCCCCTCCACTCCCATTCCATTCCATTCCATTCCATTCCTCTCCATTCCATTCCATTCTGTGCCAGCACCTGGCAATGCAGCAGTCACAATGCCCTGAGACAGGATAAAAGAGAACAGCCTCCTGTGTCCCCTGGCAGAGGTGGCACGGGGCAGCCCTAAGACATCCCAGAGGAAGCCCTTGAGCTTCTGGAGTTAGCTACAGGGGGCTCAGGCAGGAAGGGCAGCTGCTGGTGGAGGCTGCTGGAGGTTCTCAGCTGCAAGGCCAGCTCCTGGCTGAAACAGCTATCCCTCATGGGAGGGATAGCAATCCTTTTCAGCTGGATAGCCATGGCCAGAGCATAGGAATATGTTCTTGAGGAGCACTGTAGAGCTCACCATCCTCATCTGTCACAGAGCCAGGGGCAGCAGCCATAAGCAACAGGATGCAGAGGTGTTTCCAGGGATCCTGGTGCTTCTCTCAGAAGCCCGTGAGGTGACTGCAGGTTGAGGGAGAATTGGGCTTGGGTATCTCCTGGGGGGTGTGACCAGCCTGTGGACCAGGAGCAGGTCTTGCTCACATGCTCAGGAACAGCCAATCGCCAGCACTGGGGTCAGGAAAGAATTTTCCCCCGGGGCAGACTGGCATTGGTCCCCGAGGGTTTTTTGCCTTCCTCTGAGCATCGAGCAGGACCACTTGTCCCGGCTCCTCTGGTCCATTCTGCTGGGTTACTGCCTGCTGCTCATCCACCACAAAGGTGGCCCCTTGTGTCCTGCAGCTGGGAGGGGGAAGGCTTTTTTTCCCCACGGAGGACCTGCAAGTGTCCCCAGGGGTTTTTTGCCTTTCCCCGCAGCCAAACACAGCCCCTTCATGGGGTTCCTTTGGGCTATTGGGACCAAAGGTTGCTGCTCGTGCTCCACGCAGGTGGCCCTCATGCCCTGCATCCGGGGGGAAGGAAGCTTTCTGGCCTCCCAGGGTATTCCCCGGGTGTTGCTGCTTGTCCTCTGGAGCACTGAGCACATCCCTTTGTCAGGCTTCCCCTTTGGCCTTGGCTCTTGCCTGCTGCTCTCGCACCTCCAAGGCACTCTCGTGTCCTGGCTCTCTTTGGCTCCATTGCCCAGTGCAAGCTTGGAGCGGGAGCGAGTTCTGCTCTTCCCTTAGCTCCATCTCCCTGGGGGTTCTTGCTTCTGCACAGCAGCCTGTGCCTGGGAGGGCTCCAACCTTGCTGCCCCATCAGCAGCTGTCACTCTCCAGCTCTCCCTGCTTGCAACAGCAGCGGCAGGCAGGCATGAGAGCACTTTTCATGCATCCCTGGCCAAGAAGCACAGCAAACAAGCAAGTGTTGGAAGTCAATTGTGTGCTTATCATCTATAGGTGTCACACTTTGAGAAATACCCCATGCTACCACACACCTGCTGCTTCTTGCACATTTGTGTGTGGTCGATGACAATGCTCATAAATAATAATATAAAACTTTCAGTCTGGATGTAAGGAAGAAGTGTCAGGGTGCTGTCAGGGTGCTGAGGCACTGGAACAGGTTGCCTAAAGAAGCTGTGTGTACTCCTTCCCATGGCGATGTACACAACACCACCACATTGTACAGACCCTTGGGTGATATCTCCTAGCGAGGTATAAGACCAGGCTGCACCAAGCCTTGTGGGACATGTTTCTTGTGTGAGGCGTCCCTGAAAATTGCAGGGCAGTTGGAACTAGGTGCTCTTGAAGTCCTCTCCAACCCTAACTAGTCTATGATTCTAGGATGTAATGATTCTAAAAGAACATAAAATATAAGAAACCAAACCAAAATCAAATGGAATAATAAAATAAAATCTTGTTTCCACATGAAAGCTTTGTGATTTGTGTCCCTGAAAGTGCTTTTGTAGCTGAAAACCCCTGACATTGAAGAGAAATCAGTGTCACTGTTATTGAGCTCAGGTTGAGCGTAGGGAATGGAATGGAACTGAATGAAATGGACTACACTAGACTAGACTAGAACAGAATTGGTATAGGTTAGGCTATGTTATGCCTGCAGCTCTGCTTGACAAGAGATGCCCTTGTTGTTGGGCAGGTGACCCAATTTGTAAAACAAACCATGGTTCTTTGCCATAGTAGACACTTGCTACAGGACCAGTCTATTTCTGCAGTCACTTGGGGGTGAAAAGAGTGAAAAACATTCCTTGGTCTGCTTTGGATGATCACATCATTTTTTAACAGTTAACTCTGAGCTTCATGAATAAGCATGTACGAAGTGTGCAGACCCTTACTTCTTACAGTGGCACGTGCAATAGTGGTACAGACTTCAAGGTAGTATCAGTTCTTAGCTATTCATCCTGGGGTTTGTGGGGTTTGTTTGTTTTTTTTTTAATTTCATTTTATGGCACAAATTTTTATTATTTAACAAAAGCATCTCCAGCCTTAGAGTCCTCTTATGTTCATTAAGTAAGAAGAAATTGCTGGGTAACAATAGCATCTCTAGGTAAGAAAGAAGGGGTTTTACAGTTGTGTCTCACTTATGGAGTTCTGTGTCTGCTGCAGCTGTAGAGTGGGATTTGGAGCATTCTAATCTTGAGAAATGAAAACATTTTATTTCTTGAGAGTGAATGCTTCTGTCACTAGAACAATTTCTGTACTACCAACTGCTTGAAATAAAAGTAATTGTCAATAAATACATTTACATCACTCTTTTTGACAGTAGCTTCATTTTTTTGAATTTTTAATATTACAGAGAAGTTTTAAAACACTCTTTCACTCCTGAGTTTTCTAGGAGCATTAGATTATATTATTATAAAACTGATCATTAGTTTCTTCAAAGCACTTGTTTGTCCATGTCACTTGTTGCTGCCTCAAGGTCTTTTCTGTACCCAATTCAGTTTCCTTTAACAGCCATGTACTTTTGGGCCTTCCAAGGACTCTACATCTCCTAGATCTTTCTGCTTGGTTTTAAACAGAAAAGTGTTTAAAACCAACAAAAAAGTAGACAAAACAACAAAAAGGCTGCAAAAAGTGGAATGATGAACAAGTGTACAAACTGGAATTCAGAGCACCTGGAAACTCCCCTTGTACCTGCAGTTAGGTGTTTGGGCAGTTAAACTCCAGTGATGCCTGAGAATTAGGAAGTTTTGTGGTTTTTTTCCCCTTACCAAATTTAAGGACCTAAAATCAAGCAACTGAATTCAGAGTTGGGATTCAGAGCCTTAAAAGAAAAGGTCTGACTCGAACTACCACACTGAAGACTGGAGTTTTACCACTGATTTCAGTGGGGTTATGACTCTCTAAATTCTAGTGTGTCTCATTGGAATAATGTGCTCCAGGCTTCAATGCTGGAACTGTCATCTACGGTAATCCCTTCCTCATTTGACCATAGAAACTGGGTTTCTGTTTTGCTGTAGTACCCAGGTTTTTGCATGAACAGTCCAGGGTCAAAGTCAAGCAGACTGAAAGGTTATTCATGCCACGTGCTGTGGCTCTAGGCTATGAGGTGCTCTGCTCCATGCTACAGCAACCTCTTATTAGCAATATCCAGTACGCTGATCTATCTCATGTTTAAGGTAGATGGTTTGTTTACTACTTCTCCTATGCCCAGAATAAGAGAATTGCTGATATATTTCCTCTGATCCATGCAGAATGATTTCCGAGACACAGGCTTGCAGCTACAAGCAGTTGAAAGCAAAGTAAATCTCCGTAGCCTGTCTTTCTTCTGGAGCCACAAAGTTTGAAACTTGACTGCATTGCATCATTCTGGCTGAAAAATATAATTTTCAGTAGACTAGTCTTTCCCTTTGAGACCTCCTCGCCTTCCCTCTTACAGCCCAGCTTCATAGTACATGCTTAATGTTGCATGTATATGTATACTCTGTGTGTGTGTGTATATGTTGGGTGCAAGGAATTTTGCACATAAAATTGTTCTGCTTGCATTAGTAAAAAAGTTAATATTTAGTTTTATGCCTAGAGATCCTTCATACATTTCCAGAATGTGTTTGGAACCTGGTCTTGCAGACTTGCTGGATGGTGATTTTATGACTTTGCATGCCCTTTGCATGACTGACTTTTAGCCAGTCCATTGAGCAGGAGCATTTTATAAGTGATCTACAACTTCATCTCCTTTCCAGCATACAAGAAGTTGGAATAAAGGTGCAGCCATGAGGTGAGTTTGGGTTTAGTTATTCATAAGTCAATTATTATGCTAATACTCGATCTGTCCCCCTGTAAGAATAAAAACACAATTTATAAATGAAATGGATGTAATCATATCTGTGTGAGAAGGGTTCATTATTAAAAAAATCAATTTCAGAAGGGGTAATTAGCCAAGTTTGGCCATTACATTCAAGTGTTAGATTTAAGATGCAGATCAGAACTCACCATCAGTGTCTGAGTTTCATCAGCTGTGGCAGAGCAACAGAGTCCAGCAGCTGCTTGTTTCTTAAGGGATTCCTTTGCAGTCCTAAAATCCAAAACAAAGTTATCTTCAAGCACAATCTCACACGCTTCTAGTGAGCGTAGAAAATCCACCATGTGAGAAAAAATTTGTTTAATGTGATTCTGCCAGAAGAAAAGTGAACAAAATAAGCTCGTGGTCAAATCTGGGTCTAGCAGCTCTGTCTGCCAAGAAGCCCATGCTCTAAACAGCTCCATACTTTGAATCAGGTTTCCCTAGAGATAAGGAAGCTGCAAGCACCGGACCTCTCCTTTTTTAAGCCGTGAGTGCCACACATTGCAGATAAATGGGCTTAATCAGAGGAGGTAACACGCTTCACCTCTAATTCAGGGTATTTATTTCACTTGCTTCCAGTGGGTGATACAGCATATGGGTATGTTTCCAAAAAATTCTTAGCTTAGCCCTTTATGATGCTTTCATAAAAGCTCAGTTTTTGTTTCCCTGTGATACTTCCTAGGCAAGTGCAGGCAAGCGCAGAGGTGAGATTATTTGTTGGGCAGGGGGACAGGCATTCATAGCTAGATTGTTTAAACCTCATTGCCTGTTATTATGGTCAGATGGGCTAGTTCTGGATAGAAAGCATTATTTTCTTAGTAAATGAAATAACAGAAATTTGAAGGAAGCAGAGAGGACTTTGTGTGCTTCCTTTAATCATTTTAAATACTTCCACGGGTTGTTTTTTTTCCTTTACATATTTATGATCTGCAGCAAAATAACATTAAAGGTAAACCTCTTCTACTCGGTGACATGAAGCTACACTCCTGAGAGATCCGTTAAAGAATCAGGCCTGTTAATGAACGGAAAGAGGATTATGTAAATTGACAATGTCTCCATCTGCTTAGCCCCATTTGCAAATTCTTTTTTTCTATTAAATGCTTCATTTATAATTTTCTCATCATTACTAAGCTTTGGGGGAATTTGTATTCCTCTGATACACTATGGGGTCTGATACAGGCTGGATAAATTTTGACCCTTCTACCTCATTTTCTCCATAGATTCAGGGATCATGCCTCTTTTCACGTGGCTAGCTACAGATGACACAGAAACTATTTTAAATGTAAGAATAAAAAGTGTGTTATCAAAAGCAAAAGCTGTTGTATAGGTGCGTTGTTAATGCCTGGTGGGAGACAGTGCTCTTGGTAGAGTGGAAATTCAAAAACACATTCAGTTTTTTGTACCACGCACAGACATGAGGATTGATCTAGGGCAAGTCACATCTCTCTGTAACACCACAGATTCTTTTTCATCAAAAATGAGTACTGAGATCTCCCTCTGCACTGTAAACTATCCTGAGGCATGCTCTGCTTCCACCAAATAATGGTGTCACTGTCTCTCTGATTTTTGCTTAGTGTTTGCTTGTTGGAGCTACATGAAACATCTAACATATATGTGTGTTGAGAAATAGCTGTGTCCATGAGGGAAATACTGGCTTGTACAAACATTGTAAAGATGTAGACTGGCATTTTCAAATACATTTTTGTATGTATTTAAAATACATACAAAAGAGGAATCTAACTTCCTTTTGATTTCAGAAAAATTAGGGGCACCTACACCAATGCCTTCTCTGTATTCCAGTGAGATCCTATAGCTTGAAGCAAAGTACCCTACCTATTCTTAGGAAGATCATTAAGTAAATATGGCTTATCTAAGTCACTCCTGTTCTTTAACACTGAGGACATGACATGCCTGCCTAACCACCAGTGAAGGATTCCTGTCTTGCTGGGAATGCCACTGTGCTGTTTTAAAGCCCATTTCTGGAATGCAACAAATGATAAAAACCAGTAAGTTGTCCAGCATCTGGCTTGGAAGCTTGTATTTCTGTGAGTTTGAAAGAGATTTGATTGTAGAAAATTGTGTTATTCATCTTAGTTTTTCTATTGAACATTATTCATCAAGTTAGTGACTGCTGAATTTTGCCTTACTCTAGCTTTCCTCTTTAGGTGGTAAAAGCTTTTATTGTTCTGTCTCCTGAATTTATGTCTCAAGATCCTGAAAGTTACTTCTTCAGCATGTGAAAAAAAGGTACTGCGCCTTACAAAGACCCAAGAAAGGCAAGTACCACAGAGTTCTCAATATACAGGTAGTTCCTGGCAATACACTCTAAAATTAGAAGTCCTCTAATCAACCCTAATAATCAGATAAGAAATACAGTCAGGTTATGTTTCGGAATGGTAAAATTTTGCTTTTTTTCTCCTGGAACTTCTTTTAGTCAGGTTTTGAAATGTAACATTGAGACTCTGACAGCAACACACATCCTTTATATGAGCAAGCACTGCTTAGCTGAACATCATAGGGCTATCCTGATAGGATCTAATGTTGTCTTCTTACGTTGAAACTACAGAGGAACCTATATTAGATTTCACTGTGATTATATGCAGGGAAATGAAATGTTCCTTTCCCTAATCAAATTGCATCTATGAGTATAAATTCATCCTGATTATTTTAAACAAAAGAATCAGACCCTACAAATTCAATACAATTATAAGATATTAAATGCATTTCTTTACATCTTGAATGACTAACTGAACAGAGACAGATAATTCTTGGATGTTATACAGAGGGTTGAAAGCCTCAGCTGGCAACAATTGGCCTGTCAAGTTCCTCAGCAGTTATCACAGTTTGCACTGGTTGCAGATTATCAGGCTCAAGGGGTATGGCAGGTTTGAGGGAATCTCAGCATGATTTTCACATCTTATTACTGGTGGCAGTGGGCTGTGCAAAGGCAAACAGTACTACAGCTAGTGCAGGTGGAGCAGGACTCAGATTCCACTAGCGGAGCATCTAGAAAGGTTGAAAAGAACCCCAGGGCCTCCAGAGTTAACACGAATAGTTCATCAGGAGAAGAAGGATAAGCCCCACCTGGCTAAGCAATGATGTGCCAGGTCCCACCAAAAGTCTTCAGAAAAGACTTCGCTGTCTGCCTTTGGCTTCCCTCAGTTTCTGCACAGGGTTCCACAGCCATGATGGAGGGTTTTAAATTTCCCTTCCCTTTTCCTGAGAAACAGCTCTGCTCTGGGAGATTAATTTTTCTCTCCTTGATTCAGTTGGAACAGAGGGAAAACACATTGGATATTTCAAACGTAATCCCATTTTTTTAGCAGAATAACTAGAAATAGGATTAGACTGTTAAGTGCAATCATAAAAACATGTTGAAAAACGTAATCCAGTCACCATTTCAGAATCTGACTCTTTTTAAGCACATTCAGATTTCAAATGTCAGTACTTTCTGGCAAAGTAATCCATTTTTAAGTGAAGTAATCATAATCCATTTATTCTAGGTCAGTAATATTTTTTTTAACATAATCTAATTATGACCCTGGAAATTCATTGTTTTTAAAGCAATCTTAAAACTGTAATCCTGGAAAAGATTCTTGGGCTTTGGTGCTGGTCTGTGTTGGGTTTTAAATGGGTATGGTGAGATTTTCCTCTGAGCCCTGTTCTAGTGGCTTGAATTGCTCATTACAGCGGGGAAGGTCTCACACAGGAGATTTCCTCTCTGGTGCAGTCACAGACTTCTTAGTCTATACACTGGGTCTTTCAGACTCACCAACATGTTAGTGCAGTTTTGTAATCATAGATCCAACTAGATTGAAAAAGACCTTTAGGATCATCAAGTTCAATCATTACCCCAGCACTGCCAAGTCCCTCACTAAATCATGTCAAAACCTGAACTTGACCAGGAAAATAAAAGAAGAGACAAACAGGTGAATCAAAACATTTCTGTTGGGGGTGTGTGCCGGAGTGTCCAGTGAGCTCTGCCTCACTGGCCAGGGTTTCCAGCAAGCAAATAAAGCCTCTTAGTAGCCCCCTTTCCCAAGTTGTGCTCAAATTCAGTGGGGTGAGATTGTCCCGCACAAGTGGTTTGAAGAATTGCTGAGTGACCCAAGTGATGAACTCTGCTTCTTTTAAAAGTCACTCTTTATTGAGCAATGGGTGTGCTGCCAGCCTGCTTCGTCCTCAGAAGAGCTTGTAGCTTTTAAAATCACAGGCTTGCCACAGAAAAGGAACACAGCTTGGAATTAAGCTGGAAGTTCTGTCAAACTGCTGAGTATTGTTATTTCTTTACAGACAAGTTGGAGTTTGTGCAACAACTGCCAAAGATGGTCCCTGGGAAAATACAAAGGAAGAATCTAAGAAAGGAAGACTGGGGAAGAGCTGAGTTTTGCTGCTGAGCTGCTGGCCAGAATGTGCTGAACATGACTGCTTTTCTGCTTTCTGGCATCCTGTTCCCTAACAGTCTTAAGAGGTGCCGGAGAACCTTCTGAGTAAGAGTAGAAGATACCAGGTTTTGGTCTTGTGCTTTTGGGTATTTCTAAAGCAATATTTTCCCTATAATTTATAATGTATGTGGGAGAAGCTGGTTTGAAAATAATGATAAACGAGGGGAAATCAGACTTGCCTTCAGCTTTTGCTTTTATGTTTGTATGTGCATCATTTCACTGAAAGCCACAAAGTGTGCAAGTCAAATCCTATTTTATGAGAATGGTTTTTAATAATTGTTGGTAATCAGACTTCACACTTTAGACAGTGCTGGGTCACAGATAGTTTCAGGTTTAAATATAATCAAGGATTTCCTGGACTAAGTAGTCAGTTCAGGCTGTGAGAAATTTCCATAACAGCCAAGCAGAGTTACGTGGCTGTGGCTGCAGCAGAGGTTTAGATCATCCCTGTTAGGTCACATCTCACATTTCTTGTGACCCCTCTGTAGCATTTGCACCTCACACAGTGCTGCTACAGCACAGGCTGTGTACTCTTTATTCTTGCTTCAGAAGATGTAAGTAGTAGTTGAACTCTATGACCAACGTTGTATTTACTAGAAGCACAAAAACACCAGTGCACAAAACCACCAAGCCCAGGGTTGTTTACCTCCCGATTTCCTTGTTCTGCTGTAAAGCCACTATGCAGTACCATGAACCCATCTGCTGTTGTACCAAGAGCCTGGGAAAATAGCAAATGCGCTGCGTAGTAAAGCTGTTGATGACCTTTGAGGACAGCTAATTGAGTTATTAACTGGCTAACAAAGACAAGTCCCAGGAGGGGCTGTGCCAGGAGGGTTCTGCAGGTGGATCTCACCTCTTTCTTACTCTTAAGCTCTGAAATGGATATTGCTTTGCTTTCCACTTAGAAAGCACGAAATTGCCTGAAGTCAAAACCAAAGAGAAAGCAAACGCATGAAATGCTATGTCTGTGTAGATTACATCAATCTAAATGTATCTGAGCTTGCACTACTCAGGGGATAGATGAAAATTTATTTCTTTAGGAGCAGAATTAGACCTCAGATGAAAAATAAACCTTACTCTCTGGAGTATTTGCGTGCTGTGAGTGTTAAATGTTTTAGGGAAATTATGAAAGTGACTGAAAGGAGGTGGTTTGGGATATTTTATTAACCAGTCCTTTGGAGATTCATTCCACAGAGAGTCTTCAGACTGTCCGAAATGTTGTACTTGAAGTAACAGACATGCAGAGAGGAACTGTATCGTCTGCCTTGAATGGTTCTCTACTACATTTGCATCAACAGCTGCTCTAAATTCTACTTCCTGGGAGCAGGTAGTTAATTTGGTGAGCAAATGAGAAACTTCTCTGGATTTCATTGCAACTACCATAAAAATCATGGGTCAACTGGGTTTTTTTCCATGTGTGCTAGTGGAAGACTGCTGCAGTACATTCACTGTTTGGGGGCTGTCACCCTTTTTGTTTGTTCTAGGATTCTGTGGACAAGTTGGGCTGACTCATCCATGTGTGTATGGTCCATCATTATTGCACCGAATACTGGTTTATGACATTTACAAACAGTAGCAGCTGTGTTGTGTGTCTCCAAATGTATTTACATGGTGAAGGCAGCACGAGGGATGTCACTGGAGTTGTTGCTGTAAACCCCTGAGTGCTCATAGAAATTTACCCTGGGAAAAAGGCCAAATCTGTCTGCCCTGAAAATTTGTGAGCAAACTCAATCATTGGTTTCAGTCTCTCCACGCTGGGTTGAAGACGGGCTTAATGCCCTCTCATGTATGTACATTAGAAACACAGTGTGTTTGGAGTGGCTCTTCATGTGTGTATTGCACAGCTCAAAAGCCACTTAACAACCACAATAAAATGAGGAATGGGAGGAGTAATTTCAACATTGCGAGAGCAGATGGAAAATTCTGTGCTCTGTTACAGAGGCCTGAAGTTCCTCAAACCTTGACCCAAACATGCTCGCTCTGAATCTCACTGTGGGTGCTCCTGAGGTGTATATTCAAATAACTGAGCACTGCACTGTGGCTTTTCTGCAGGTTTCACTGGGAATTTCATGTGGTTGCCACTGCTCTGTCCATTTTAATTTCTCTGAATACGTGAGCTACCAGGCAGCATAAGACATAGTTATCTTTGCTCCTAGTCTTGACTGAAAAATAGTAAGAGGAGAAGCAGAACCAGTTAAATAGCAGTCAGATCAGAAAAATGGGGTAATTCTCTTTTCAGATCACCTTAACATCAGTAAACACTGTCACTTGAGGCAGTCTGCTGCATGCCCTTTTTAAAGTGTTAAGATGAGAGACAGGTAGCCTGCAATTACTTTAGCTTTGGGTATCTGCATTTTCAGAATATCATATGTGATTTACCAAGCTGGGGAGGGTCATCTCCTAACACTACAGCAGCAGGTTGGGGGAGCTGGCTCCAAGTCTACAAGACACAGGAGACAGGGGGAGAGAGGTTGTATGTGACTTGTGCAAAGACACTGATGCCAAATTGGATAGTTTACTTCTGAGTAATTTCAGAGCTTACATTCAGTTTGCAAAAGTGGCTTGAAAGCTTTCCAATATCCCTAACACACAGCAATTCAATGGCTTTCTTGGAAGACTGGCCATGCATTGATGCCTGCCGGGATTCTGCATGTGGTCTCCAACAGCCTGGTTCTGCCTCTTCGTAGTCCCTTATTTCCATGGCTGCTCTTTGTGCTTGTTGTTTCTAGCAGCATCTCTGTTCCCTGACTCTGATCCTTAATTATACCCTGTACTGCCTCTATATAGAATCATAGAATAATTTAGTTTGGAAAAGACCTTTAAGATCATCAAGTCCAACAATAAGCCCAACTCTGCCAAAGTCCACCACTAAACCATGTCCCTAAGTGCTATGTCTACACATCTTTTAAATACCTATATTTATACACAGCCTGTATATATCATATAGTCTAATGTGTATGCTTATGTATAGCTTTTATTTATCTACGTCTTAGTTTAAAAATATTTTTCCACTTGCAGAGCTTATTGCCTGTGGTAACAATACTAACAGACATTACTGTGACTGCAGGAGAATTCACCTAGTCCAAGTTTGCCAAGCTCACCATAATTGAATACCTGGAGATCCTGTGTCATGTCTTTCAGAGCATGGATTTTGTGTCTCAGCCCTTTGTCTCCCTTTTCATAGCAATGACTATGGAGTTTTCATTGTCCTCAGAGCTGATGTCAGAACTGCATGTATTTTGTGCACAGAAGTATCCGATCGTGGATATTATAGGTGATATTTATTGGCAACAGGCTTCTGAAAATCTTCATATCTTTATCACACCAATCCTCATACTATGTTTAACTCCAGAATCTGAGAATAAAGCCCCATTGTTGCTATTTTCAAAGTCATTGGTGCCATAAAATAGTTATACAGTAATGTATGGTAGATTATCCATTCTCCAAAGGCAGTGAACCAGAAACACAATCATTCATACTCAGCACTCTTTCTATCTTCTCTCAGTTTTTTCAGTGATTGTGCCTTTCTCCAGAAGGAGATTGGAGAAATGAATTCTGTGCTCTCAGGGGAAATAATCCCCACCACGGAATCTGATGTGTGATCCTAATGAAGGGCCACAGCTGCTCAAAGAACTAGAAAGAAGCCAGAAGGCAGTACTCACCAATTAAGTACTAGGCAAGATACATGAGGAGGAGTTGAAAGAAGTCTCACCTGATCACAAATAACACCTCCAGGTAAGCCCAACCTATTTAAACACCCCGAAAAATTAGTTTTTATTTAATAGTTGTTCAGATGTCTTCTCAAATGAAAGATGCCATCTACTAACGTAAAAAAATATAACTCTACAGTGCTGTTTTATTCCTCTTTCTTCGCATGATTCTCACTTTTATGAAAGAAGGTGGACTACTTTCCTGGTTTGTCCCAAGCAGACTGAAGAAGTAGCTTCTTTCTGCAAGAACATCTTCTAGGTCTGAGTCTGCAATCACTGGCTCAGATCTAAGGGAAAAATAAACCAGCTGCCGTTTCCACAAAGATGTCACTGATTAACCGTGAGTTCTGGAATCTGGCTTTTTTAATGACCTCTTAGGGATAGAGATAAGAAATAATGTGTTATAAGCAAACTATGTGAAAAAAGAAAAACCCTCTTTTATTAGTCTCTGAAGCTGATGTATCCTGAGCACCATGTTCCCATACATATGGCTGTAATTCACTCTTGCAAAGTGTTTTCGAGGTAATGCAAAACTACAAACAGTATTTTGTAAAACCAAATGCAACTCTGTATATTTAAGGACAAATGCAAATGTGGCAAAAGCATTAGTCTGGTAAACAAATCAATAATAGAATGTGGAAAGCCACCTCAGAGTTATTCATAAGACTTTGCTATCCAATTAATAAAAGGCAAATGCCAGTGGTGGGAGGGAACACAGTTTTTTCTGTGAACAGTAAAGAAGGCAGAGGAAATGGTACAATGTAGAATGCTCAGCTTAGCCCCTACTTTGGTTGGAAAGAGTAGGAATTGTCAGCTCCAGGGGGAATTCTCTGAGACACCTGTGGGCAGATGGAAAAGTAGGAGACTTGAAAGTGGTACCAGAGCTCTAGCTTACCCATAAGGAGAGGTGGGATAAAATGTCATACAGAGATGGACTTGCTGCTCTATATACATCTGTGCCATTTGGAGCCAACAGCCCATCTGGGAATATGCACACCGTAACACTATTATTGATTTTTCAGCCTCTTGTAGGAGGGAAATAATCATTAAAAAAACATTTCTGATGGTTATTGTATCCAAAAGCCCCCATACATCTGCTTTTGTACCACAAAGATTTTACTTGTATTTCAAGTGTTGCAGTCCTCATGGAGCACCCACACACTCCGCAGATTATTCCACCAGTATCACAAGACTTTTGCACCTTTGAATTTCTCATATTATGAAGCTGTCAGTCGTTGTGAACAGGAAGTACCAGAGTACTTTAATTTTGCAAGTGATGTGCTGGACAAGTGGTCTCAAATCGAAAAGGTAACGTTTCTGACCCTGTAGATTCAGTATTTTTAGTAAAACTGTGCCCCTATCCCCAAAATCAAGCCTAAAACCATCACTGGCTTCAGTGGGACCGGAATTTCCTCCCCTATTTCTATTTTAACATAATATTGACATTGCAGAGAAAGGAGAGGCAATTTGCTTGGCATCAGAAGGGACATGGTGCTTTGTCTCTGTGACTCTGATTCAGCAGTGTGTGCAGTGCTGTGGTTGTAAAAGCCTCTAAGTAATTTATGAACATTGCAAATCAGGTAGATATACTCACCAACTTATAGTTGCCTTGAAAAAGGTCTCTTTTAAACCACATGTGTAATATCCCTGCCCTAGAATATGTCACACTATCAGATTCCACTTCCTGGACCATCCCAAAAACTCTGCATGGAACTGCAGGTGTATCAGAAATAACCAACATGCTCTTTATGCTTGTGTATAGGAACGAAAAGGACCATCAAATCCAGCTCTATGGTGGATAAATGGAAAAGGAGATGAAATTAAATGGAGCTTTGAGGAGCTGGGCTTCCTGTCCCAAAAAGTGGCCAACGTGCTCTCTGGGCCATGCAGTCTGGAAAGAGGAGACCGAGTTTTAGTGATTCTCCCCCGAATCCCAGAGTGGTGGCTGCTGAGCGTGGCTTGTATGCGAACAGGTGAATTGTATCATTGCTAATGGTCTGTAGATTGGTTGTTACCTTCTATGCCGAAAGTTGGTTAGCAGTTCATTTAACAATTACTTTCTTATTTGACTGTGTAGCAAACATTTGACAATCAAAGAGGCTGACAGTGTAGTCTCTTATGACTGATGGAATTACTCTCATCATTTTGCTTTGCTTTCTGTGGCTTGCGTTGATTGTGTTAAATCGATTTGGTTGTGTTAAATCAATTTAACTTCAATACAGTTAAGTTAAAGCTGCTAGTGTTTACTGCCCCAAAGTTACTTTCTACTTACATTGTGCCTGGAGCAAAGGATCTCATAAAAGCAAAAGCTATATTGTACTGCAGATCGGCACATCTGTATTCAAGTTCATGTGTGTGGCACTTGTTTATCTTCTTCTCATTTCTGGACTGAATGGTGCTGATTTTCAGCAATTCAGGAAAAGCTATGAAGTTATCAGGACTGAAAGTGACAAATACCTAATAAATTCCCAATCTTATTGCACTTTCAGGTGTTATCATCATCCCAGGGACCACACAACTGACAGCACAAGACATCTGCTATAGACTGCTGGCTTCCAAGGCTAAGTGCATTATTACAACTGATGTGCTTGCTCCTGTGGTGGACTCAGTTGCATCCAAATCTCAGTTTCTGAAAACAAAGCTAATTGTATCTGAAAGCAGAAGGGCTGAGTGGCTGAACTTCAGTGATTTGCTCAAGTAAGTGCCTTCTACCGTTAACTCCATCATTGTTACCTCTAGTGGAACATTTCTCATGTTGTTTAAATACACTTATGCACTTGTGTCTAGATATGAGATAGATACCTTTGAGGGGGTGTGAGAGAAGGCAATTATGTCTCTTTTCTACAGAGCATTTGGAAATAGCCAAATTAAAAAATAAGTACAGTCTTACAATGACTAGGTTTTTTTATATATGACTATGAAATAACACAGAATAATAAACAGGAAAGCCTCTCTTATTGACAACTGTGGCCTGTTTACCCTGTAAAGCTCAAAGAAAAATATTCTATACCAATTATTCCAATCCATGTTCCTAAAACGCTACTATAATAAGGTTAGTAGGAATAGCTTTTCAGTGTGAAAGGCTAAAAAAGGGCACTGCAAAAATAACCTAATGTGTTTAGGAAACAACCTGCCTCATGGCTGAAAAGTAGCTACTAAACAGCACCCAACAGACAGCTCTTCACTGCAGTGCATGGGACTGTAGAAAGGGTGGAAAGGCAGAGTGGAGAAGGAAAGCAAGTACCCTGCTAAAATCAATGTAGCTAAAACCATTATTTCAAGGTGGGATCCAAGCTCTTCAGTCACTTTAAGAGCTTCATAAGATGTACCATATGTTCTCACAACTACTTATGTCTGAACTAGTATTACATGTGCAGCTCACTGTACAGCCTGACTGTATTTGCATCTGTTCTTTTGAACAATGGCCCATTTCAGTGTCACTAAACTGAAAGACAGGGAAAGCACTAAGACTGCATTCTCAAACTTCCTAGAGCTACTAAAACATTGTCAAGTCGATTTGATGAATCCTCTTTCATGCTGGGCTAATATTCCATGTCTCAGTTCCACAGCAGAGAGTAAAATTGATTTTGATAAAACCTAAATATTGTCTGGAGCTGCATCAGTCCTGCAGAGGCTGTGCCTGGCGGTCAGGCAGGTAGGCTGGCTGGTTTCCCAGGATGGCTGCCTTGTGAAGTGCTGGCTGTCTGGCTCCAGGGTTAATCAGCTGTCAGGCTCACAGTGTTTCTAGAGTGCTGGGCTACTGTCCCGCCTGGCTCGCTATCTTGCCAGATCACTGGCAGCCTCCCTACCTACTGGGATACTTGCCCAGTCTGCCCAGCTCCCCATGTCCTTGGCTGCCTTAGCCAACTGCTAAACCAGCCAGGAGGCTGTGAGGCTCTGGAGCGAGGGCTCCTGGACAGCAGGTCTGCCTGGCAGGCAGCACAGGGAGATGGCTGGCCTGGGCAGACGGACTTCCTATGCCCAACCTTGCAGGCATGGACAGTGTCTGCATGCCAAGTAAAAGCTTTTTGAACATCAGTCCTGACAGAGGAAGGGTTTTGCTTTCTCATCCTAGAAAGTGATGAGAAATATTTCCCTGTCACATGCCAAACGACTGAGAGTTTGAGCCTCTTCATACTTCCCAAACATGGCAGGGACAATTAACTAGTGGGACCATGTACCCAAAGAAATGGTGGGTCCTCCCTCAGCTTATCACATTAAGGATGGCAGATATGCTTTCTGGAGGGTGCTTGGGTCAAACACAAGGTGCTGGGCCCTTTTGGTGGCTGTTAAGGGAGGCAAATAAAGGTCAGCCAGTTGGCATTTTTACTGTGGAGAAGGTGGACATGGAGAATAAAGACCAACATCAACAATGCCTTAATACAGAACTAGCAGTGCAAGAGTGAGGGAATCTCAGTAGTTTCTTATCCCTCACATCTCACTATACAAAGTCCTGCATATATTGGGTACAGAGGATTGAAGCTGAGTGTGCTGAATAATGCCAGCCACTGTTTCAATAACCTGTTTTTTCTTCTAAGGGCTGCCTCTGCTATCCATAACTGTGTGAAGACAAAAACCCAGGATCCCATGGCAATCTATTTTACCAGTGGTACTACAGGCTCACCCAAAATGGTTGAACATTCCTATGGAAGCTTTGGTCTGGGTTTTTTTCTCTTAGGAAGGTAAAGTATTCAGCTAATTATGTCTTTACAGCTCTGGAACGTGAAGCAAACAGAGAGATTTTGTGTGTGATAGAATTACGATAGATGATGAGGTGCCAGCAATACCGTACATGTCATTTCTTTCAGTCTCCTCAGCTGAATTATACCCGGGAAGCAAGGATCTATTTCGATATGGTCTGTGGCTCCATTTTAGAAACTACTTGTCTAGAAACTAATGAATTAGGATATTGTTTGATTTTCTTTTATCAGTACAAAGGCTAGGCAAAAGGCATTTATTTGAGCTCCTGAGTTTCGGATCAAATTTACCATGCCTTTCTAAGGAAAAATAAAACCAAAACAACCACCAAAAAAACACCAAACAAACAAAAAGAACCCACAAAAAGACCCTGCCCACCTCACATTCCTAATTTCCACTTGCAGACTTTCTTATAGACACCTTTGCCTTCAACAGCTACTGGATGAATTTGACTCCCTCAGACATCTTGTGGAACATGTCAGACACTGCTTGGGTAAAGGCAGCTGCTGGGAGCGTTTTCGGGCCATGGTTCCAGGGCTCATGTGTTTTCATACATGCCATGCCACAGTTTGATGCAAGAGAAACCTTAAATGTAAGAACACCATGTTCATAATGAACAATTACTCATATTTCATGTTGTTTTCCAAGCAGGCCACAAAACTAAGCTTCTCAGGTTTATGGGATTAGCCATTTTAAGATGGCATAACTACGGGGTGATTGTTCTTTGATAGGAATATAATACAGGAAGGATTTTGCAGCATGACTCTTTTGGGCACAGGATATTACCAGCTGCTTCCGATCAGGATGAGTTACTGGTATTACTTAAGCCTCTTCCCTACTGTATTTCACTACTGAAATGATAAATGAGCTGGCTTACATGTAAATTAATATTTTAATTACACTGTTGTGGCCATTAAGGAAGTCAAGTCAGTACTGGGAAGCACTGAAGCTGTGAGATTGACTTGAAAGAAATTGTTCTTGAAAGAAATGGTTTTCAAGCTTCTCAAAGCAATCTGAGTTTTAATCTAACAGAAGAGGAACACTGCTGTTCCCAAAGGGCTCAAAGCACCTATGTGGAAAAGTGTATAATCCTAACGTGGGGGTTATTTGGGGATTTGAATACTGTTTCATTTCCATTTTAAAATTGTAGTTTCTGGTTTGGTTTTCTTTTTTGTATGAGTTTCTTGGCTGCTTTACCCATGGCATGGCTGGAGTGAAAGCTGCTGAAGGAGAGGTCTTTCCCCTCTGTGAGCAGACTTGCATTGCAGGCAGAAAGGAGTTTAAAGAAAAAAGAAGTAAGGCTTAGCTCTGCCTGAGTGGCTGCGCATCATCTGCTGGTGGTGTGGGTGCGAATTAAAGATGCGTCAGAAAACAGACGCTTGACTGAGATCTTTATTTTGCTAGCAAGCTGCTCCTGTCCTGGCCCATGTAGAGGAGGATATATAAATTTACTAGTCCAAAACAACCTTTTAATACAGCATTACTCACAACTCAGCCAGAGCTCATGGAGACTTGGCTCTGCATGTCAGGCCTTTTGTTAGGACAGCTGGGGGAATTAGAACCTGTCTAAAGATTAGTGACAGTCCTTTTCAGAAAGCGTGGGGCTAGATAAAAGACAGGCAAAATGTTCAAAAGAAACGTGCAATTTTAGTTGCCTCTATTCTGAGGTGTCTGACTTCGTCCTAGGGTGAGATGTGGGTTTTACAGTATAAAGTTCCCTGCAAAACTTAGGTTGCTCCTCCAGGGCCAGGGTTTCGTACCAAGGGGTGGTCCTTGTGCTTCAAGTAAGCATCAGGACAAATCAGTTACACCAGTGACTTACCACAGTCAGTGTATCACCTCTTCAGCTGATGTTTGAGCCCTGTAACATCTTTCCTGAATGCTGAAAGTGACACCAATTACTTTGCTTTCCATGTAAGTGAGGTGACAATCAGGTCTTGTATTTTGTGCTGTAGTATACAATAGAAAGTAATAGTTTGCAGCAGGGTTTTTCCCAAAACAGTATTATTTAATCTTCTTTTTCTTTTTATTTATTAGACCTTGTGCAGATACCCAGTGACCACTCTGTGCAGTGCACCAACTGCCTACCGCGTGCTGGTACAGCACGACCTCACCAGGTACGGCGTGTCTGTTAACAAGTGGCCATGCTGTGTCTGCAAGCTACTATCTGGCTCTTAACAGTGATTTCTACAGGACCTCATAGCCATTTAAACTCTTAGAGTAGTGGAGATTTGTTGGAGACAGATCCTTCTTTTTAGCACTGCAGAGACAGGTGATGAAATCCACCCCTCAGGCACCTCCAATGCAGAGCAAGTTTTGCCCTGAGGCATTAAGGATAGTGAATACAGAGGCTGGTATTCGGCCCTTGAAGGCACAGATGTGGCTGCACTGTTGCCACTCCTGTGCATCTTTGCACCTCACTGCTTAGGCAGCCCCTTTCCAGACGCACTCCAGTTAGAGCTCTAGATTTTCTCTCAACCCTAACCCTTACTCTAAGAGAGTCCGGTGTGTCCTGAAGTCACAGGGTTGAACATAACAATTGCCAGGGAGAGCATTTGTCCCCTTCTGTCCTCTGATACTCAGTAATGTCCTCTGCTTATGAAGGTATGCGTTCAAGACACTGAAGCACTGTTTGACTGCAGGTGAACCACTCAACCCAGATGTGATGGCACAGTGGAAAAGCCAAACAGGACTGAATATCTATGAAGGCTACGGCCAAACCGAAATTGTACGTTTTTTTGTGAAGCTCAGCTGTCACTTGGAGCCTTAGAGTCTATCTCGTTCCTCTTAGTAAATATGGAACTGGGCCATACATATTTGATGAAAAAGAAAGATGGCATTAGAATATGTGGCAATTGCCTACAGGAGGGTTTATGGGTTTTAGAATTACGTGCTTGGTTATGATACTGCTTCTAAGACTACTTAAGCTGTAAAATATCTTGAACTATTTGTCCAAGACTCGGTGAAATTCAGTGTTTTGGCTCACACAAATGGAAAATTTACATTTTACACTAGCTCAACAACGGGCATAGTACAAGAACAGGAAGAGCTTCAGGAATAAGAGTGAAAAATACCTGGGCTGGTTGTTTGTCTTTTCCAACAGGGAATGGTATGTGCCAATACAAAAGGAATGAAAATTAAGCCAGGTTCCTTGGGAAAGGCAGCTCCCCACTATGATATTTCGGTAGGTGGTCCCATTTTCTGCTTACTGTTGATTTCATAGGAAGTAGTACGTAAGAGAGTAGAACATCATACTGTACAAGTTTCAGTACCATACAGTGGTATTCATGGCAGGCTGACTTTTTTGGTTGAGCTGTTGGCTGTTGGTTAGTTTTAGAACATGGCTTTCTTAAAATGGGAAGTTATAATCACCCATTTGCCTTTTCTATTGCAGATTGTAGATGAAAATGGCAGTGTTCTGCCTCCTGGGAAAGAAGGAGACATTGCTGTCAAAGTAGATGCCAAGTGGCCATTTACTTTTTTCACTCGATACGTGGTAAGCCTGAAGTGAATTTCCAGAGAGCCAGTTGAGGCCTGCAGCATGGTATGTATTTATACCAAGAGGAGCAGGTGCAGCACCAAAGAGCTTTGGCTCATCTTGACCTCACAATGTTTTGACTTACAACACTTCAATTCTCTATACCAGTCTTCTGCAGACCTATTATGTGACCTTAAGTTCCCTATCTGGCCCTGTGATAAGTTTTCCCCTCTGGAAGAAGCAAGCACAAGCTACTGCATACTTGAGACAGAAAACAAGCAGTGAAAAATATTTGGGTAGTGCCCAGAGAGGCAAAACTCATCTCTAAGGTTCAGGCTTCTCAATATTCAGAATAACTGTTGCTTGTTTAACAGGACGATCCAGTGAAAACTGCTTCCACAATCCGTGGGAACTTCTACATCACTGGAGACAGAGGGAGCATGGATGAGGATGGATACATATGGTTTATGGGGAGATCTGATGATATCATCATCTCCTCTGGGTTTGTAGATTTCAGTTAAAATGCCAAGAAATGTCTAAAAAATAAGCATACACCTTTTACTTACTAAGCACTTCATTTCTTCCTCCCAGGTACCGTATTGGACCATTTGAAATAGAGAGTGCCCTGATAGAGCACCCAGCTGTTGCTGAGTCAGCTGTGGTCAGCAGCCCAGATCCCACCAGAGGGGAGGTAATTAGCGGTCACTCTCCTGTTCACAAACTGCCTTGTATGACAGAGCTCACACTCAAGCTTCCACTGAACTTGTAAGATTTTTAATACAGCTACACAAACTTCTCTCCATCACTTCACCCAAAGCAAGGGGAGCAGTAGTCTGTGTGTACCCTTTTCTGTCTTAAAAATGAAAATATAGTACTTGGTTTCCTAAAGAACATGACACTGAGTATAAAGGTGACTCTGGTAAGAACTGATGTACACTTTGACCCACTGCCTGGGGAATTATATTCTTTAGCAACATACCTTTACAGAAAAGGCTGTAGCATCTAAGAACTGCTTTAAGCAGTGCTTTAGAGAACTCTAAATTTTAAGCAGAGTTTAAAACTTTTCTTATGTATCACTTAGGACCTTTACTAATGTAAGGCAGAATCAATCTTTTGTCCTAATTTTATATATGCTTACACAAAAGCAAGATTTGCTGTATTGCAGAGGTGTGACAGAATACGCCTGTAGTGCAGGCAGTACTCAATTAACTGCCTCATTTCTTAGGTTGCTCTGGTTGAACTAATGCTGCATTTTTATCCATTTTCCCTTTGTAGGTGGTAAAAGCTTTTGTGGTCTTATCTCCTCCCTTTAAGTCACAAGATCCAAAGAAACTGGCCCGTGAATTGCAAGATTATGTCAGGAAAGTCACTGCTCCATACAAGTACCCCAGGAAGGCAAGTAAACATAAGTGTATTAAAAAAAATAAATAAATCCCAAACACCTATTTGAACCATGGGGAGGCTACAAACAAGAAGAACAGACTCAGTTCAAATGCAGTAACAGAAAAAGCCCAAATATTTGCCGTGCAAGAAAAATAACAAGCATTATTACTTAAAGAACCTCTTGGAAAAGAACAGATCCAACACAGTCTAAAATGAAATTAGGAGTTATTTCCACAGTCCCCTAATACTTATTGAAATTAAGTAGGATGAAGACTTTAAGTAGGATGGAGCTGTTCTGAAAAAGAAAAAAAAACAATTTAAGTGACATATACTCATTTTAGTTTCTTCCTCTTTTGAATCAGATTGAATTTGTCCAGCAGCTGCCAAAGACAATCACTGGGAAAATCAGGCGGAATGAACTGAGGAACAAGGAATGGAGAAAGACTTAATTTTGATAAGCAATCTAAAAAGGCCTATCCCTATCAATTTCATTCATAATGGAGCTCTTCTAACAACTGTTAAGCACCAACACAGGATTATATTTCACCCACTGAGCAGTGACTGTGTAAGAATGCACAAGTATAAAAATTCCCAACTATGTTTTTTTACATCCTTGTGTTCTTGCTTAAACAAAAATCAAGCCTACCTTGGCAAGGCAGATGCAAACACAACTTCCAGCCACCTAGCACTTTTCAGAATCACAGTACAAGTAGAAGTGATTCCAAATGAAGGAGTAGTGTGTTCATTCTTTTGAGACCAGATAATTTAATTCACAAGAGGCTTACTAACAAGGAGATCATGATAGTATACAATGAAGTTCCCAGAAATGGCCACAGATCTTGCACGCATCCAAATTAAGCACCCTGCTTGTATGAATATAAATAAATTTAGGAATTAATGTGTTAACAGTGAATGTTCAGTAAGGGCAAGTTATAAAAACAAGAAGGATGGCATCTTTTAAGACTGCAGCACAGGCATCATGTAAATGTCACACAGACACAGGCTTGACAAACAGCAGCTATTCAGCAGCTTCTTCTGAAGAACTGTCGGTCCTGTAGACACATATGAATGAGAAGGGTAAAAAAAAACAACCAAACCAAAACCCAACAATCAAAAAACTACAAACTATCCATGAGCCTATCCTTGTCCTTAGTAAGTAAGGTAAGCAGGCTGTTTTGAATCATGATCATCAACATGAGCCACCAATAAACATTCACAGTTGACCTTCATATCTGGTCTCAAACGGTTCTTTCCTATGTGTTATCCAGACATTGCTGGTTTTAATTCACACACGAGCAGCTTTAAAATTTAAAGAAAACACTGATGGAGGTAAGAAAACAGAGTTTTAATAAATGGGTGGTAAGGGAAAGAGGACTGGGGAAAAGAGCTGTCTTAATTTTCCAGCTTCTGAAAGAATTTTGAGAAGAAGAAAATACAAATTCAACACTGTTGAGAGACTTTGACAAATCCTTTTCATTAAGCCAAGACAAGTAACAAGTGGTGTTCTTCAAGATGAGTCTTTTCCCACTGGCAACCCACAAGCTTTTATGCTAGAAATGAAATACTAAAGCTAGACAGTTGTACAGGAAGCATACTCAGAACCCTATTGGAAAGCAGGTTATAGATGCACTGGCTTTGGTTGTTTTTTAAGTCACTGGGATATCAAAAGAGCTGCTGTAACAAACAGGCAACAGACAGACTCACTAACATTACTTTCAATCTGAAACAAAATTAATATTGTAAAGCTAAAACTGTACCAAAAATTAAGCTTAATTCCCTTTATCCAGTATAGTTGAATGGAAGTTTCTTTCATAAAAAGTTCCCAAGCAGTATTTAAATTCAAATTTTGAGACCTAAATAAAAAATAAAAACAAAACAAAAAAAAGACTTCATAAACACCCCCAAGGATTAAGTCTTTGGAAAGAGCAGCAAAAGGCTGTTGCAGGAAATTACTCAAAAGGAGTCTGTTCAGCGACTACAACATTTCTTACAAACCAGTAACTGCTGTATACACAGCTAATGTAAACACACATGTAGTTTTTGCTGAAACCATCTGCAATGCCTGCACTATACTTCTACTGTCCTAGAACAGTCAAATCTATTACTCTAAATAGTCTCATAATATTCAAGTATTTTGATGATAGCAGTTCTTCCCATTTACTTTCAACACTTAGCATACCCTTGTAGATCAATGTGTGTGTATATATATATACGTATATAACCCTCCATCAGACAGGAAATGATCAGGTTTAGCTCATTCTGTTGTTCCCACAGAAAACTGTATCTGAGTTCTGCAGTCACACAGGTTGTCAGATCACATCCTTAAAACCCTTCTGCAGTCAACTGTCTTTTTCAGATATCTCACTTTCATCAATACTTCCTTATACAGCTGACTCTGCACTGCCTTTTCACTTCTGTAGCCATCAGATATAACAAAGGAGAGTCAGTATATGTCAGGATGGCCACATTTCCATATGCCACGCACACACTCCTGCTTTTTGTACTAGGTAAAGGCATTGCAGAACAAAGCTTCACCAGAAAGGTGAGCACTCTTGCATCTGTTGTAATGTCAGCGCCACCTGCAACAAGCATTGAATTCTTACACATGTGGATTTTAAAAACAAGATTTCAAAACAAAACCACTCTCCTCTTTACAAACACCCTTTCAGAACTCTAGGGCAACTCTTAGTTTGGATTGTGTTTATCTTTCCCTTCTGTCACACTTTTTACACTGTCAGCTTATCATTCCCCTTGGGCTCAGCTTCTGTTTCACCTTGATTCTTGTGCTCTAGTTTTACTTCTTCTGAGCTCTTCTCCTCCCCCTCAGCTTCTGGTTTTACTACCTTGGAGTTCTGTTCTTCCGTCAAACTTGATGGGTTTTGTTGTTTGTCTTCTTTGTTGCTCTTCACCACCTCCTGTAGATTGTATTTTCTGAATAGAACATAGTCTCTCACCACACTCAAGCAACAGACGGTTTTTATTATTTCCACCACAACTGTATATTGTGGGTTATTAAGGTCGACTTTGTTTTCTGGATTGAGGCTGCCCACAATTCCTGTAAAACAAGATGTAGTTTAAAAGATGCTGGGAAAACTGTTTCAGTAAACATGCCCTAATGAAAGGAAAAAAGTTAAGAGAAAGAAAGCAACATGCCCCTTAGTTGTAACCAACTACTTGTTTTTGTAATTGCTTAAAATAGCCGAACGGAGCAGGACTCAGAATATACCAGTGTAACTGAAAAACTGTCCCACTGCAATTACCAAGAAACAAAATACTAGAGTAAGGTGGAGCTATTTTATAAGTCATATATTCAATGGAAATAGTGACACACTATTTCAACATAGCATCCAGAGAGAAAGCCTGACAGCATTAATTTCACAGCACATGTAACTAACATGCCAAACACTGGACTTGTTTCTGCTTGTTGTCTCTTGAGACATTAACACCAGCAAGGAATATCGATGTCAAGATTTTTTTAAGTCTTAGAGAAGCTTTTGTAATTCAACATAAAGATTTTAAGCAACAAATGTGTGTACCCATTAAGACCGCTTGTAATAATCTGACATGTTATGCATGCAGTTGTGGGCTGCTTATGTACTTGTTCTCAGTTTTGTGAGAAATCCATACATACCTGCTAATTCCTTAATTACTTCTTCCCTACTCATATGACTGTTATTCCGAGCTTTGTAAACAATCTGAAAAGTACCCTTATTAGGGGCTTTAAACCAAGGCTCAAAAAATGTTTCTGTGTATTTTTTCATATCCTCCATAAAAGCCTTGCAAGTTCCAGAAATGGGCAGCATCCTCAGGATGACTCTTGTTTTCTTCTTCTTAGTGGCATGCATATCCTTTAATATATGGTGCACCAGGTTCTCAGGTTCTACAAGAAAAACAGCTAGGTATGAGAAACCAATTGAAGGCATTTTCTCCCTTCCTGACCCCTCTAAGTAACACAGTGGGGAAACACTCAGCTGCGCTGCTGTCAGTCTCAAACCCTTTTCTGTAAAGAGTTTTTTCCTATACCAGAACTGGGTAATCAGGGATTATTTTGTCAATACAGATTCCTCTACCTTTAGCAACTCTGCTAATGACAAAAGTCAGGGGCTATGCGAAAAGGAGGGGGAAACCCTGCATGTATTTGGTACACACGAGTTTCTTGGAAGTCACTCTCTGTGGCCTTTTACTAACACTGTTCAGTGTAGTGTACCCCACAGCATTACATAGCATCAGTTGATGTCCTACCAATGCCCTGGGTTCTGATGAAGACCACATTGTTGGCACCACTCTCCACTGACTGGAACCGCCGCAGCTTCTGCTCTGTCGAGGCACGGATCTGGCCGACCTCCTTCTTCAGGGCTGCCTCAACGTCATCCTCATCCTCCTCCCTCTCGCTCCCAGACAGCCGCTCCTCGTGATCTGAAAACTTCACACACGGCACGTCTCGTTTGAGTACTGAGCAACAGCGCACACAAAAGCCGCCAGCATGGCCCTGAAGCCTAAAGGTGATGGGCAAGGACTTTTTATCCACCCAACCCTAGGGGTTGATGCCAGAGACCGGCATTTTCCTGTGTGGTGACCACAACCATGGGGTTTTACACACAGAGGAGGCTCCAGACACCGCCCTCCCCGCCGCGCAGGGTCATTGCTGCCAGGCCGCGGGCAGCAGCGGAGCGGCCGATGCCGCGCTCCCCGGCGCCATGGCCGTCTGCCGCCCGGCCCCGCCCGCCCGCACGCACCTGCTCCGGCCCGTAGAGCAGGTCCCCGTACTCGCCGAGGAGGCTGTAGGCCTCCCCCACACACTTGCGCTCGTTCATGTTGCAGGTGATGAGGATGCCGCGCATGCCGGCCTCCAGCTGCCTCCCGCCGCCGCGGGGCCGCTTGGCCCGCCCCGCCGCGAAGTGCCCCTTGGGCCGCCGCTTCCTCGCTGCCGGCTCCGCCGCGGCCATTGACCGCCCCTCGCTGCTGCCGCCGCGCACTGCGATGGCGTCAGCGCCGCGCCGCCAGCCCGCCGGAGAGAGCGCCGCCCCGCGGCCCCTTACCGCCGTGCCGGGGAGCGCTGGGGGAGGCGGGCGCGGCGCCTCCTGTGGCGCCTGCGGGGGAGCCGGGCCGCGGGTGATGCCCTCAGCCCGCTGCGGGCTGCTCTGCCAGGCGGTGCTGCTGTGGGCAGCGCAGCGCCCCTGTTAAAAGCGGAAACAAAACCGCTCCTTCTAAAACTACGGTTCACCTCAGGGGTCACATGTGCCGGGGGAGGTTGAGCATTCCCCGGGCAGGTGCTCAGGACTCGGTGCGGTCGGCTGTGCCAGGCTGTCACTCGTAGCCCTGCATGCTTTCTCTTCTGCCGAATTTCAGTTCCAGTGTTAAAGTCTGGGTTCGTGTTAATGATTCCAGAGCGGATGATCAGTGGGACGGGGCAGGAGGGGATGAATGGTCAGTGAAGTGCAGGGGAGCAAGGAGCCCTCAATCCTGCTCAGCACTGGAGCGTGGAACACTGACCTGTACACTCCAGTGGGGGGACACACGGGTCAGCTGCTTCCGTGTCTTCATATCTAACTCCTGAAGGTGTCGTGGTGTAGAGGGACCAGCTGAAACAGAAACTCGTTATACAGGTAAATTTAGGCGTGAGGTACTAGAGAACATGTGTTGGGAGCAAAGGCATGGGCCACAGCATGGATCCTAAAGGAAGGTGTCTCTGTGCTTCCCTGTCCGTAAGAGCCTTCTCTGCCTGCAGTAACTCTTGAGTTTCTTGGGCAATTAATAGGGGAGAATTAAGGCCTTCCTCATTTTGTGAAAACAGGTAGAGGAGTCAGGTAAGGAGGTTTCTCTAGGGGCAGGACTATCATTGACCTGCAGAGAATCCAGGTGGGCTAAAGCGCTGTCCTCGGGGGAGGGTTTGAAGTTAAAAAAACGTTAAGTCAAGTTCACTGTGAGGGTGGTGAGGCAATGGCACAGGGTGCCCAGAGAAGCTGTGGCTGCCCCATCCCTGGCAGTGTTGAAGGCCAGGTTGGATGGGGCTTGGACAACCTGCTTTAGTGGAAGGTGTCCCCGGCCATGGCAGGACTGGATGAGCTCAAGATCCATTCCAACACAAACCATTCTGTGATTTTATGGAAGTAGGAAAAAAGGAATCTTCATGAATTGATGCAAGTTACAACCACAACAGGAGGTGGCATTTATGTCTTATCTGAAGCTTTGTTCCTGCAAAGCCTTTGAGGTTCATACAATTCTACAGCAATTGTTAGACATCAGTGGGATTACTGACCATGCATAAATTAAGTCACTCAATCTCTGTAGGGCTGGGGTTGTGTGAAAGACTCAAAGTTGTGGTGAAGTATAGTGATAGTCTCTGGAGTTGGGCATGTCAGGACATGTTTGAAAAGTGAAGAAGTTCTACAGGCAGCTATGAGAGGTGCAGAGGAAATGCAATTAACCATACAGAATGTAACTAGGATACTTCAGTGTTGAAAAGTGCTGGAGGACTTGGAAATACCCATTGGTACTCTGCAAATCAGTTGTATGCCCTACCAAAAGAGCAGGTTACAGGTTAGGTCACTGTGGAAGTTAAGGGTTTCTTCCTGAAGTGGATACCTTTTTACCTATGTATTACTGGCACATTTCCTGACTCTTATCACAGGCCATTGCTCTTAATGTTCATGCCTCCTCTGGAGTGATGTGATCTGGGTAGGGAATCCCTTTCAGGCTGTTCCTCTGCGATTCCTCTGGGAGACTTGCATCGCATGCATTTCAAAAAGCTGTTTAAAATATCACTACTGCAGACTGACTGTGCGAGCAGGTTTGTTGTTTGGGGAACTGTTTTGAATCAGTTTCTTTCTGCTGCAGTGAATGTTACAGGGAAGTGGTTAATATCTCATTGGAGTGTGCTGTTTACAGACATGGGCAGAACCCCAGGAGGGAGTTCTGGCAAAATTACAGGGCTTATGTGCCAGGAAAGACTGCCAGTGTCACCCTCACTGATCAGCACCCAGAGGACTGTTCTGCTCCCAAAACGTAAATGGATGTTAGCAAGCTCTCTGCTGATGTCAGAATCATGATTTGAGGATGGAGATACAGTGGGAGCTATTTAGGACTCTGATAGCCAAACTCTTATGATGATGCCCCAGTTTAAGCTACATCTGTCACTAGCTCCCTAGTGAGTGAAATCCTCTCAGGAGAGGCTGAAGGTAGAGGCACACATCAATGCCACACTTGTGCCCACAGTGATGGTGAGCTGTGGCCTTAATGGCCGAGAGGATGGCACATGTTCCCTCCTGCCTCTCTCATGGGAGCAGAGCAGAGGAGGCAGCAGTGCTGGAGCACCATATGTGCTCTCTGAACATGAGGTAGAGCCCTTACAAAACCTCACAATTTACCAGGTATTAAAGCTGGCTCTGGCACCAGCTGCAGCATCCCAGGAATCGGTACACACTGTTGTCATGGCTGAACTGCTGTGGTTACGTGCAGAGCCCCAAGCTACTTGCTGAGCTGTGTAGTCACAAAACCAGTCACAAGGCTGTTGCTCCTGGGTTGCCCCAGCCACAGGGCAACAGATGTAATCTGGCTGTAGCAAGGTTTTATGACTGTGGTGAGTGGGAAGAGAGAAGGAAAAGGAAGCAGGAAAAGATTCAGGACTCATGTTCTACCTCCACTCTGAGCTCCACAGAAACCTATCAATCACCTTTCTTATTACATAGGCCTTGTCTCTATAGATGTAGGACTGTTTTTGCAGTCTCAGGCCGTTCATGATGAGGAGCTAAACATGATGAGTTATGTCCAGCCTGGTAGCAAGGACAGAGCAGAGGTATCACTTATCTGATACAATTATTCCTTTTACAGGAAAAACAGGCTTTGGCAGGCTGTAGAACAAGAAACAACCTCTGGAGAAGATGCTTTACCTTCTGAAGTGTACTGTTAAAATCTGCTCCTCTGAAAATGAACCTTGGTGTTACTGTACCTTCAAATACATAATAAGGTAACATATTCTTGCTGCCCTAGTGACTTTTTCGCTCAGGAGGTGACTTTATTGCTACTGCTAAATGCATTAGCCCCCTTTAAAGCACATTGCATGCATACGTTTCAAATCACGTATCGGGTAGGTGAGATACTTTCTAAAGGTCACACTGTGTGGGCCTATGCTTTTGCAATGTTGATTTAATTTGCAGAAGTACCGGGGAGGCCCAATTCCAGATGAAGGAAGTTCTTCATCAACTACAGAAATCCAAGGCAAAGTGTGTCCTCTGATGATTCTGTGGCACCAGCTGTAGCCTCAGTTGGGGCTGAATGCCAGTCTCTGAAATTCAAATTGCTTGTGTCAGAGAGCCACGGAGAAGGATGGCTGAACTCCTGAAGTGAGTAAATACCACTGTGAAAGCACCATGGTAATAATGAAAGAAAAGCACAGTGGTTTGTTCTGAATAAGAAAAGCTGGCACACAGCAATATATTTTCACCCCATTAAGACTGCACAGTGAAAAAAAATCAGATATTTATGACACTTGCAATTGCTGCAGTTATTTTGGTTAAATATTTTCAAAATAGTGTAAGTCACACTTTCAACTCACTTTATTAATCATTTTGCTTATTTTAAGAAGTGTTCCTGTGTGCCCACAAAGTGTCAAGATCCAATGGCTGTCTGTTTTACCAGTGGTACCACAGCATCTCCAAAACTGGCTGAACATTCCCACAGCAGCTATGGTATTGGCCTCACAGTAAGTGGAAGGTATAGATATCCTGGGCTGCATCAAAAGGAGCGTGACCAGCAGGTTGAAGGAGGTGATCCTGCCCCTCCAACTCTGCTCTTGTGAGACCTCACTTGGAGTATTGTGTGCAGTTCTGGTGTCCTCATCATAAAAAGGACATGGAACTGTTGGAACAAGTCCAGAGGAGGGCCACGAGGTCACACAGCAAAAGGAAGAGAAACATAAATTTTTTTACTAGGAGCTTTTGCTTCAATAGTTCAAAACCAGCAACTGATTTACATCCCCAAAAGTGTGTGTGGGTTTATTTTTATAAAATAAAGGCAGTTCAGAGAATGTAGCAGTCATATAGTCACTGATTTCTTTTTAACATTAACTTCTGCTAAATTCTTCACTGCGTGTAGTTAATAGATTGCCTATGAACTGAACATTAGCACAAGTTTATGAATTCTGTACCATACAAGGAAAAAAAAAGTCTGTTAGGCTTCTGAATTCACATGTGTCTGGATTAGACACAGCTCCTGCAGAAACAAAATACTGATAGTTCAAAGTCTTTAAATTTATAAGGTAATGTTTATAAAACTGATATGGCAGAGCTCTTCACTCTGACAAGCAGAGAATAACAAATGAGAAAATATCAAACTAGAAGTAAATAAACAACAACAAAAAACCCTCATCCCTAAAAATGAGTTCAACAAAACGGCAGCAATCTCATACATATATTCATACAACACCATGTTCTGAGGTGGTGGTAGCTTGGCTGCCAGTATAATTTTTCCCTTAGAAAAATGCAACATCAGTCTATCGTGCTAACATCCTCACTATGCTGTTACTTAACTCCTGCTCAGAAATTCGCACTTTTCTAATTGCCATTTACCCAAGACAGCTGCTGATGGATTTGCTTTACTGGCATGTCCCTTGTTGATATTTTAATATTTGCCTTATTCCTGCCAAATAGAGACTGTGGAACATTTCCTTCTGTACCAGGTACTGGCTGGACTTGACTTTCTCAGGTACGTTTTAGAATACATGAGACACTGGCTGAGCAAAGTCAACTTGGAGCAGTGTTTTTCACCATGGATTCAAGGGACATACATATTTGTACATAAGATACCACACTTTGACCCAAGCATTGCCTTTGAGGTAAGTGAGGAGAGCCAGCAACAAATAGCTGTGTTCTCTGTGGCTGCTCTTGCCCAGGTTTTCATTTCCCCTAGCACTGCACAGGGGCAGCATGCAGCACAGTTATAACTTCAACCGCATAGCAACCAACCAGTAAGTAGTGAGTGCTGCAAATATGTACCCTCAAACAAGAACATATTTGCCATCCAGAGAGTTTCATCATACATTCTGCTCTGGATTAGACTGCACAACACCTGCAAACATCCACTAATAGGCCTAAAAGTGAAGCACATGAGAAATTGTTCTGGGATTTGTGGAGCACTTTGGTGCTGTTATTAGAGTAAGTGACAACAGCAGATGAATGAGAATTTCAGTTGCCTGCACCAGGTAATTCAAAGTTAAGGAGTGAAGTGGCAGCAAGGTTGAATTTCTTTTAAAAAGACACCAACATTATATTCCCTTGCATCCTCCACACACAGCTCTTCATAATTTGAATGAAACTATCATATTTCATTTTGCATGGAATGACTTTTTCATCATATCCATGTTAGTTAATTGCCTGTTATTGTTAGGCTGTGTTGAAGAACAGTCAGTTGTAACACCAACAGAGCATCTAAAAAAAGAGCCTTATGATTTCACTTGTTTTTCTACTGCAGTTATGGAGAAATTCTGCAAGAGAATTAGTTTTAGGTTTGAATAAATTCTTACCTGATTCCCACCATTTGGCTGTCGAAGATGGTATATTAATAGTACAGAAATAGTACAGGAGGTGGATTGAGTATACAAATGAAATGGGAAACTCATATAGTCTGAGTCAAGGTGGTGGGTAAATAAAGTATTTAATGAAATGCCACCAGCATTTTATCTTTATTGTTACTTAAAGGATAAAAAAACATTAAGAGTTTAAGAAAACATTACTGCTTCAAGAATCCCTTTGTGAAGTGCAACAAGTTCTAAATACATTTTTTAAAGTTAGTTATAACCATTACAAGTGTATTTAGGAAAAAAAAGTATAAATCAAAACACTATCATTACTAGTCCAGACCTTAAAGAATATTTTAAAGTATTTAAAATACTTGATAAAACAGAAATTTAAGATTTGTTGCAACAACTGTTTATACGTTAATTTTAGCACTTAATAGTTTTGTCTGTTCTCTCACACATCACTAAAGAGATACTTTGATATATTGGTATTTTTTATGCTTGATTGATTTCCATTTCTGTGTTAACTAAGCAGTGTAATTTCTGACCCATTCTTAGAATACGTATCTGACATCATTTGGCTGTCCTGATTATACTGAGGATGATCAGCTTAGAGTTTAAGATTTGGCCAGAAAATTTACCAATTTCTAAGTTCGCATGGAGGGCCTAAGACACAAATGCTTTTTGTTGGAAGAATTTTCTGAATTATTAGCAACACTTCTGAGAGAGGTCAAAGCATCTGCATTCCAAGCAGGACCATTAGATTTCTCTTTTAGAAGTGCATATTCCCACTTGAAGTATCCACAACCTTTCTTACTACCTTCGTGCTTGCCAACAGGACAACAGAAAAATGCTTTGCCATGATTTGGACCAGCGTTTGACACATACCGTTTTTTAGCTCTTCTGCCACACTTACACAGAGGGGGAGTTGGTTTTCCATTTTTCACAGCTCTTACAGACTGATTCAAATTGACAGTGGAGTTCAGAATGGCAGGAGACACTTCAGGCAAATTTGAACTTCTTAAAGGTAAGGAATGATCAAACGAGGCAGTTTTCTCTTGATATATAGCAAAAGACACTTTTTTCGCTGGTGGGAACATTTTTGGACTAGTTGGCTTTCTTTTAGGAACCTCTGAAGGAGCAGAATAACTTCCAGTTACTGCTGATTGTGATGAAATAGTATTTACCCTTGCAGACGGTAACTTAAAAGCTGAGAAATCTGAAGTCTGCCTTTGTACTGCTCCTACATTATTGACAGTAGTATCAGGACTTTTGTAAATTACAGATTTCAGAGGTCCCACAGGCACTTCAGTTTTCTGCAAACTTTGATTAGCTGAACTCATTACAGCTGATGGTTTCAAAATTATTCTTTCTTCAGACATTGGTAAAAGATCTGTACTGGAGTCATCTTCAAATTGAACACAGTCTGAATTCTGTTCATACTGAGATGCTGGTATTAAAGCAACATCTTCCCAGTCAGTCAGCAGAGATAAGCAATCAGAACTAGTACTGGTATCCTCATTGGAAATATTGATTGAGGAGATCGTAGTGGAGACAAGCACTAATCCTGATCCATGTTCTGGAAGGCTGTATCTGGCTGTACTCAGAGGTTGCCCATTGTTCAGTCCTTGTGGAATGCCTGTTGATACAGTGCTGGGATTTTGCTGTGCCTGCTCAAGAGGAACAGGAAATCTGTCAGTACATATGGCTGAAGAGCTTTGGGACTGAGCAGGTAATTCAAGCCTTGAGTTGCTGGTAGGTACAAAGAGGACAGCTGCAGAGGAATCGATGCAAGTGGTCTGTTGTTCCTCAGTTTGTACAGTAGAATTTATCTTAATTCCAGCAATACTGTTATGGTTTTTCTCAGCCAGAGAGTTTGTTTTGCAAATTCCATCTCTAGATGCTTCAGGTCTGCTTTTACTTCCCAGCGGAGTCTTGTCAGTGGAGTTTATAGTCAGTGTTCTGGAAATAAAGTCATTTTTCAGACGTGCCTAGGGAGTCCGTAAACAAAAGGAGATTTTGGAAAGTAAACATCCAGCAGTTTTAGGAATTAGTGCACAAAATGAATAAGCATATTATCCTAGGGATATTCTGTTCAGTTCATAGTCAAGGAGCACCTCCGCTATGAAGATAGGCTGAGAAAGTTGGGGCTGTTCAGCCTGGAGAAGAGAAGGCTGCGTGGAGACCTCATAGCAGCCTTCCAGTATGTGAAGGGGGCCTACAAAGATGCTAGGGATGAACTATTCATTAGGGACTGTAGTGACAGGACAAGGGGTAATGGGTTAAAACTTAAACAGGAAGTTTAGATTGGATATAAAGAAGAAATGCTTTACTGTGATGGTGGTGAGGCACTGGAATGGGTTGCCAAGGGAGGTTGTGAATGCTCCATCCCTGGCAGTGTTCAAGGCCATGTTAGATGAAGCCTTGGGTGGCATGGTTTAGTGTGAGGTGTCCCTGCCCATGGCGGGGGGGTTGGAACTAGATGATCTTAAGGTCCTTTCCAACCCTAACTATTCTATGATTCTAAGATACTGGCTTTATTATTTGAACAACTCACCTCTCATCTGTATTCCAGGGCTACAAAGCAAGTAGAAGGGAAAATATGAAGTAGTTACTAACCTTATCCAAAGATTTGGTAACCTTCAGCACACATCCGTCACAGATCAGCCTCCAAGCTAGACAGGCAGTATTCCGGGAATCATCCAACCCTTCAAAAGGTTATATTAATACCTTATTTTTAGGCTACTACTGGGGATATGTTCTTGTTAAAGTGTAGTCTAGGTAAGCCTTACATAAATGACAGGGATTCACAGAACTCTTGAGACATAGTTACCTAGTTCAAAAAAGGAAAGCAGAAGTAAAGCATTCTAAAGAATTCCCTGTGTTGCAATGGCTGAAGGACCAATTCACTGAGCTGACTATACATCCACAAGTTTTAAAATCCTTACTGTATTATTAATCATGTAAAACCAATCATATTGTACTGGTATTCTCTGACATGCTGTCCAGACCTCTCAGGTAAAATCAAGTTTCCTTATCCTCCCCCTGATTCAGAAATTGATCTTGTTGAATATGCACTCAGTAGCACAAGGGGAAATTACAGAAATGAAGCAGGAGGTTAGCAATAACAGACTCGTATCTTTGAAGCATCAAGCTGTTCTTGTTCTGATGTTTTTGCTGGACAGAATGTTGTATATCCTGGTAACACTAGTTTCTATTTAGATTAATGACTAGCTATTACTAGCTGCTTTAGTTTAACTGAATAAAGCTAAATAGTAGCTACTAAGCTTTATAAAATATATATTGTATGTATTAAAATGAGGATCATCATTATCATACTTACCAGAATGTTCCCGTCCTGTAAAAGCTATCCCCAAATCCTGCAAAGCACCATTTAGCCCTTTAGGCTTTCTGTTATAAAAGACCTAAGGAAAGAAACACAGGTGCTTAACATAAAGCACTTCATAACCTCTTCATAGTGAGGTGAAAACTATTTCAGAAATAGCATCTTATAAATCTCACAAGGCAATTGTGCAATTCAGGTATCTTCATTTTACAGTTGGGATAAATAAGCCTAAAACCGTAAGTGACTTATCCTGTAACAAATTAGAATGGAAAGAACCATGAATCCCTTCTCTCAGTCTTAAACTAATCCATTCTGTCTTAGCTCTGGAGTCATTCATTTGCACTTTATGGCTTACATCGAAGGCCTTAAACAGAGCAGCATTGAAGAATACAACTATAAATAATATCTTGAGATGTTTAAGCTGTTCCATATTGCACAGACATAATATATTTGGCATAGGTATAAATTCTTTTGAAATGAGAAACAGCAAATATTGCTACTCACTCCCAGCAATTCATTTGATCACAAAAAAAAAAAAGAGGGAATATTCACACCATTTATCTTTAATAGAGACCTAATTCTGCTGTCTAGATTAAGAGCCTAAACTCCACTGTCTAGATTAAGAGCCTAAACTCCAAGTGTCAGAACAGGTGAACTCCTAGATCACCCTCCTGAAGTTTACTTGACCTTCAGTGCTGTCAGCCCCCAGGCTGGAACTCTGTTGCAGCATAGACTGTAATCAAATATACATTCATTTTTTCAATATTATTCATGCTATTCAGATTATACTTCCTGGTCCAAGTGCAGTTCACATGCTAGGCCTTTAAGTATTTCTACACAGATGCTGATGATTATTTTCTACACAGTAATGAAAGGCAGCAATAAAGCACAAAAACAAGGTAAGTTAGGAAGTGAGCAGAGCAAAAGATGTCAGAAAAGCAAGAGGAGCCTGAAAAATTCTCCTAGGAGAATTCATTTATCTATCAAGAGAATTAATTTATCCAACAATAACACCAGGTTGTTTTCCTAGCATTAAGATTTCTATTAAAATTCACACAGTTCTAGGGCATGCACTTTGTTACTGAGCAATAACATCATGGAAAGAAAACAAACAGGTTCCTCTAATCACTGGATTGTACGATATTGGCTTGCAACCTCAGGTACAGTTAGCCTTTGAGACGATAAAATGAGTATAAATGCTTCACAGTTTGTGGATTTTCTCACCCTGTACGTTGCTTTGAGATCAATCCAGGAATTTAAAATGTCAGGTTTTCGCAGCTGCTTCCTTTTACACTCATAATGCAAACACACACCCAGGTCCCAGTCTGCAAGGAAAACACCCACAAATATTCTGTCACTAAAGAACTCTCCTGAAACGTGTGTAAAGGGATGTAACATCAACATAACAGTAGCATCCTGTAGTGCTGGGCAGGAAGCATAGGCTAATGCAGTGTTTGTAGATAAAAAGCACTAGGATTGTTGCAATGGGACATCAGGGTTAGTAAATGCCTGTTGTTAGTAAAGAATTATTTTATGTGGGTAAAGATCTCAAACACCTCAAAATCATTTAGACACAGTGACACAGTGCTTCTGTAAAGCAGAAAAAGGTAACAAGGTCAGACCCTGAAGATGAAGATGTAGGGAACATATCAGGATTGAGGGGGTTTCATATTTTCAGCCTTACCCCAATATTGGACATCTTTAACACTTAATAACAGGGGTTTGGCTCCCTGGAAGTGAAGACAATCTCACTAGCACCACCAAATGTTAATTTTTTAATGTGTATTACTCCCCAGAAAAAGCAAATCAGAACTTTATTTACCTGTCCAAGTAACAAAGGTACATGGTTTTGCTTCTGAAGTAGAATTGCTGAGGATATCTGTACCGAATACAATTTTCTTCTCCATTTTTATCTTTTGAATCCATTTCAAAAACTGTGATAAACAAATGCTTAGGGGGACCCCTTCATCAACCTGATTCTTTATGAAACAGAACAAGTATGTGTTAGTATGTACTGAGTCATTTGAGGTGTATTTCTTTTTAGCTCTTTAAATAATACAATAAATAGTAATTATACCTGTGTTATGCCAGTCAGTTCTGTGCAAAATTCAGAGAGAACAGGATGCTCCTGGGGCTGGACGTAGGTGTGGAATTCAGATTCAATCTCTCCTGTTGATGTGTTTAACAGGACTGCTGGGAATTCGACTGTGACAAACCAGGAGGAAGACAAGGAAGCAAAGAAGCGAACCAACCAGCCCCAAAGCCTGGCAGGTTAGAGCCGTTCACCCCCCAGTCCCTTGCTGTGCTCGGGGGTTGACCTGTCAGCCGCGCCAGCGAGCGTTCGGAGCGGCCCCCTGCGCCGCCTCTCCCGCACTCACCGATCTCGGGCGCGCGCCGCCCCGCGTCCCGCCAGCACGTGGCCTCGAAGTCGATGACGATCAGGTACCCGAACCGCTGCCGCGCCGCCCGCGTGCTGCTCCGCGCCCGAGCTCTGCTCCGCGCCAGCCCCAGCTGCCTGCGGACCGCACCGGCACCCATCAGCGCCCGCCCGGACACCACCGTCACCCCTTCCTCCCCACCTCGATCCCTTCAGGAGCTCCACTGGGGCAGCAGCACCCCGTCGAAGCTGCGGCCACGGCCCGCACCTGGCCAAACGCTTGGTGGCCATCCCGGCCCTCAGCCGCAGCGGCCACCCCACGGCGCCGCCACCTCCATTTCAAACCACCCGCCGGCGACAGCGACCCGCCCCTATCTGCGCTGTCGGCGATCGGCTGCTCTGGCCTTGCCCGCAGGCAGGTGCGGGTAGCTGCGTGCCGACACGGCGAGCTGCCCGGGGGGGCGGGGGACGCTGTGTGTTCGAGGTGGGATCCGCGGCCAAAGGCCCCTTCTCGGGGGGCCGGGGGAGCACGGGGCGGCTGGGGATCGGACCCACGGCGTCAGAGCTGCCCGGGGAGCCCCGGCGGTGGGCGGGCGCTGGGGGTATCCCCCCGTGTGAGGGGCCGGGGAGTGTCGCCCCGGCCGCCATGACCCTGCGGTGGTTTCGTCTAGGCCATGGCGAAGGCTGGCTGCCCGAACGGGTGCAAGAGGCCCGCCGGCGAGGGCGCGGAGGGACTGGCGGCTCGGAAGAGGAGGAAGGTGGATGGCGGCGGCAGGGGTCCTGAGGTGAGCAGCGGGGCCCGTCGTGTCCTGCGGCTGGGCGGCTTTTCCCTCACAGTCCCCTTGTGGTACTTCGTGATGGCATTCACTCTGGGATGCTGGAAATTCAGCAAAAATGAGTTTTACTGGCACAGGGTTGGCTAAAGGTAATCCGTGCGGAGAATGGTTTGGTTTCTGCCGTTTCTGCCAAGAAACATGGAAATGAACTCGCTTGGAGTGTTGGGCGTTAACATTTAAAGAGTTTTTTTACAAAATACAGTCTCTAATGTATTTTTTTCCGTTATGCTTCCGTGTTAAAGGGTGGCTACGAAAAAGCTGCTCCTTTTTACAAGGAGTTACATGGAAAAGACAATGGGTAATGGGCACAAGTTACTCCTGGGGAGATACTTGGACACGAGGAAAATTGTTCACAATGAGAATAATCACCCCATTGGAATAATCTCCCCAGGGAAGTGGTGGACACCCAGCACTGAGCACCTTTTAATATTTGGCTGGACAGGGTGCTGGGACAGCTGGTCTGGGTCATGCTTTGCATAGAGAGGTTGGACCTTAAGGTCCCTCCCAACCTGGGAATCTACGATTCTGAAACAAAATAGATCATGGAAGAAATACTGTGTTCAAGTTTCAGCCTGATGGTAACACCTTGCTCACCCAGGTTGTGACTTACTTAGTGCCCGAAAATAGGACAAGAGTAAGCGTGTCTGACCTGTGAGATCAGCCTTATTTGTACTCAGTTAGAGACTGAAATTCCTGTGGCTGGCAGGTAGCCTTTGCTTGGTGAAACGAAACTCATGCTGTTTGGTTGGGGTTTTGGCAAAGCTCTAATTAGGCTCTATTGAAAACCACAGTGTCATTATTTACTTATCTGAGCATGAGAGATGAGGGACTGGTAATTATACAACCCTCTGTTATTATTACCAGATGATTTTAACTACTTGAACCTCAACGACTGTCACCTCTATTTAGCTTTCTCACCCAATGACAAATAGCTTTCACAGTGCACCAGCTCAATCCCAGGTGGGCCGGCATTGTCAATTAATGAGCACAAAGCTTGTTAGCGTGGTGGGAAGACACAGTTTCTGGTAGTTGTTTGTCCTGTGGGATTCAATATTCTGTAGTGTTCCGTGGTCTTTTTTCTTTTTCCCTGTAAACTGTGATGTCTTTTTGTTGCATAAGAGCATCTTTAAAGTTTTTACAGTCTGAAGGAGCCCCGTTAGAACAGGCTCATTAGTCACTGGAGGGCTCCAAAATCATGCATTTACTTGATGATTAGCTTTGAGAATTCCTGCATTTAGGCTTAAAAAACTGGTGTGTTGAACTGCGTGGTACAGTCTCCATCTCATCTGTTTGCTTGCTTTCTGCAGTTTCCTTGGATTTTACTGAAACTTTTCCTGCAGGGGTCAGCAAACCCACATGCCAAAACGGATCACATCACATAAATGAAGTAAATGAGTTTCAGCAAAACCGTACCTAAAGTGGTATAAATGCCCAAAGCTGTAGAGCAGCAAGTGGATGAATGGGTTGAGAAAGCAGAACATTGTGTTTGCAAATCAAATAACCTTGTCTCCTTACTACATACATCTCCTTACATTAATCTTTATCAAATCCTTGAAGTTAGAATACCTGAAATATTAATAGTAAAATGAATATTGAAGAGTGATCTGAGGGGAGCCTTGCCTGTAGTGAGTGGAAGAGTTATTTTAAATATCACTGATTGTATCCAAATAGTTTCCTTTTACTTTATAACTGTCTTCATTTTCTGTGAACCCGTGTGATCAGATAAAACCTTTGTTAACAAGTGTTTCCCTTTTAACAGGAAAAGTCATCTCGCTTGTCAGCGGCTCTGTTTGGTGAGGACTGTGAGATCAGCTGCGACCAGCTGTATGAGCTGTTAAAGTATGCAGCTCTGGGAAAACGCCACAATGCAACACAGCCCAGGTATAACACATTCGGGAATCAGCTGTGCATTCCCACATGTTGTGAAAACATAGCTGAAGGCATATTGGCCATGCTGGTTTTGGAATACTTGCAACGCACTTACCATAATGACAGCCTGTATTATGTAGATACAGGTGCTATTAGACTTGCCCAGAGACCAGAATTCCTCTTCTGACAAAAAATGATACCATTTCGTAGTTTTGTTTCATGCAGTTATCAAAAACTAAACAATTTTGTAGAACCAGAGAAATTCACACTGAGAAGTGAAATACTATGGTAAAAATACTAACACAACACAGAAAATTGGAGCAGTGTTCTAGAGTGTTTTGGAAAAAACATTTTAATCACTTTGCCCTTTTTCAGGGCAACTTCTCAGCAATGGAGGGGGAAGGCTGAGGAGGGTATATAACCTTGGATGGCCAAAATATGGTGAAATGTAATGACTCTTGAAATGAAACTCAAGGCAAAAATGATCCCACTTTAGGTTTTTAGTAGTGAATAGAAAATGATTTTGTGAAACCTTTTTGATGCATTAATTTACTAGACTGCATCACTGCAGCTGAAGTTACTCATGTATTCACATTCTGATGCATATAAATGAGGTATAAATGTCTTGAAATGGTACTGCAGCACAGTTGTAGCAAAACTGATTCTTTCTTTGCCTCATATATTCTGTTGCTTTCAGGAATATGTAGTTCTTTGAGATAAGCTATAAAGTCTGTTCTCATTGAAGTCATTTGGCACTTTGCCATTCAGTGACTTAAATGCTGGGCTGGTTCCAGGTTTGTTTTTAAGAGTGTTTGATAATTGTTTTGCTTTGATTTTTTTTTTTTCAACTGCAGCTGGTGCCGTATTTCTCACCAAAGCCACCTGGCTGGGGTCGTGGTTATTGTTCTACATGAAATGAGCCAACTCCATTTCTACAAATTCTATTTGCAGTTCAAGCACCTCAGGAAAGTGTTCCGGCATGTAAGTGCCCAAACTGTCTTCTAAACTTCCAGTCCTGAAACTGTGTTCCAGGCACTAATCGCTACAGTGAAATTACTGCCTTTTCCAATAGGAAGTGGACATGTTTTGACTCTCAAAGCAAGCTACTGAGAGGATCTATTTGTAGCCATGGCAGCTCAGAACAAAGGCTTTGATATTAGAAACAGGTTTTTGAGACTTACGTCTTTGAAGCCTTACCAGGTGAAACGTGTATTGATGTTTCATTCCTCTGACTTGTTATGCTTCCTGCATCATCAAGATGCCAGTGAGGTTAAAAATATCTCAGTTAATTTGGAATTTACTCTTGAGTGAGTGATGAGACTCTCAGTAGAATTATGGTAGTCTCACTTCATTACAAGTTTCTCCCATTTCCCCAAAAGATTATGAAAGGGATTATTTCAGTTTTCTGAGTTACAGGCAACATTTTTGAAAGACGAAAGAAAGAAAAAGCATTTCAATTCAGACTTACAGAGAATTCTCCCTGAACTTCAGCAAATGCAGATCGCAGCTCAACTGGAAAGTCTGGTACTTGCTTTAGTTTCTATCAAAGTCTTGAGATTTGCCTTCTTGATCGTATCAGGCAAGGCAAATCTGTCCCTTACTACAAAGAATCCTATATCATCTGTCATTAAAACAGGTTGGGATTTTTTGTCTTCCTTGGGAAAACACCAGACAGATTTCCACTACCTTTTTATCCATCCTTCTCTTAAGTATGGATGGTTTGGGCATCAAGAAACATCTCAGTTGCTCGATATTTCTGCTTCTGTTTGAAAGTGTCTGACATGTCTGTGGTTTTTTTCCAGAGATTCATATTAACACCTTCAGCTAACTTTTTCACCAGCCTGTATGGAGAGGGAGCAAACCTGAAGCCTCAGAACACTACACAAGGTAGCTTGTTTGGTTTTGCATCATCTCTTTCAACAGTAATTTATGCCTTTGCATCCTGTGCAATCCCAGCATGCTGCTGTGGTAAACTTGTTTACAAAGAAAAATGTACAGTGGCTTAAACCATGACACTAGTTACCCTGACTCAATCAGTAACTCTCTGTGGGGCTTATTGTCAGAAGTAAATGCAAAAAGCAGAAAGTTTTTAACAAGTTTAATCCAAAATTCTGATGCTTTATTATTCATTTTGTGATTATTTTGTTCTAAGGTGTATCTAATAAAAGATACAGATATATAAATCAGATTCAGGTTAAGTAGTTACTCATTTCTTCTTAGTTTTCTTCATTATACTGAGCAGCAAATCAAGTTAAAAAGATGGGTGTGTTGACAACTGATTTCCTATTTTTATACTCTTTATAGAGGTGGTTGTAACCCATCAGGCTTGTACAAAACCTGCAAGATACAACAGTGTGAACTTCACTGAAATTGTTAAAGCGTAACAAAGAATCTTGGAGTCCTAAATGGGAGAACAAATAGCTGTTACTTTCAGTGTATTGGCAAAGTCCTCTAGCACCCTGACTGTAAACCTCACAGATCTGAGATGTCAGGTATATTTTTCTTTTAAGTGCAATCTGCAGAGAGTCACCTACAGATTGTTTAACTTTATACAGCTGTGGATTCTGGTGTCAGTTCAGCACTTGCTTCTTTGTGAGCCACACTTAGAACGCATTTTCTCCTGATAATATTACAGAAAAAAATTTCACAAAGGGGTAATAATAAT